GCTTTTTTCTCTCCAATTCTGTCTTAATAAAGCAATTCTATCAATTAACTATCTGTTAAAATCTTTTCTCCCTTTAAGTATTGATCTTCTCTATCTTTCAAACGAACTAAAAATTTACGTAAGTGCTAACTAGTTTCATACTTTTCGCCCATATCTAATTCCTTTATAGCCCCTTTGTAATTAAAAAGAAAGTTAGCTAGCTTGCTAGAAATATAAAAATCAAATCAAATTTTATAGATTTTAGTTTTCACTTCTACCGTATTAAGCAAAATTTGATATATTTTCATTGTTTTAATTTGTTAATATTTAAAATATTTAATGCTATTCTTACATGGGAGTTTCAGAGTAACGCCAGCATAAGAACCTAAGGTGTAGAAGTGTTGTATCCTAATGTTAAAATAATTTTTTTTAAACATTTAATTGCATTTTAATGTTGGTAGAATTATAAATTATTTGATAAAATTATCTATTTGTTATCAATTAAAATTATTACCAATATCCATAAAGAAAACCGCCAGTTAGCTTGATTGGAATGTTGTTTCCCTTCAAACAGTAAGCTACTAATCCACCTAAAATAACGAACTATGTATTTCTGCCCCATCTTTGATTTGTACTTAACAATGTCTTTTCATTTAATTATGTAAAAGTGTTTTTTAATTTGAAAGTCACAATTGAGAAATAATAAATTTATTCTCATCTAAAATAGACTTTTACCTCATAAACATTGTACTTTCTTTCAAATTCTTCATCAGTTTTTGATTCAGATCTGGTTAATGTGTATAAAAAGCTGCTCACAACTTAAAAATTTTTTCTAATTTCACTGTTTTCTAACATTCATATAAAACAAAATGTTAGTTAATTCATAAAGTCATTATGAGTCTAATCTTTTAGCATAAGAGGCTATTTTAATCCTATTTTACTTAAACCTATTTGTTAGGTAAATGGCTGACTGGTTTCTACTTGATTTGATTCTTATTACTTGTTACTCATCTTATAATATAATTTATTAGAATACAATAATTTAATTGAGTGAATAATTTTTTGATTAAATTATTATTCATCACACACACAATCACAAAGAAGATATATATATTAAATGTAGTATCAAAAAGGATCTATCTATCTATCTATTTTTGCAATCATCAAATTAGTGTTTTCTTTATAATTTAAATTCTTTTCTAGAAAACATAAAATTACATTTTAGCACTCTCTTCTTTAATTATCTACAATATAAAATTAACTGAAAAAATAACAACCAATAAACAGCTAAGCATATATTACTGCTTAACTTTTATAAATTAACTGTATGAATATTAAAATATTTAAAATATTGCTTGCACCAAGAATTTGTTGAATCCAAAAAAAATTTAATTGCATAATTTTTTGCTTATTTATAAACAAATCTTTATTTAGCTTTGATTAATAAATTGAAATTTAAATTTTTATCAAAATTTACAAGTTTTAAAAATAATTAATTTTGTGGAAGCAAGCACGCAAATATTGAATACACTTTTTTGAAAATGAACCATACAGTTTTCCATGTGCAAAATTCAGCAGACATTTATTAAAAAAAGAATAATATTAAATTTGAGTTAAGCATACATTCTGATAAAGATATTGATATGAATCTGTAATATTTGGAATAAGAAGTTTCATTTTAACTCAGAGATTGCTTTTTTGATCCAAGAAATGACAAAAGTGGATCGATTTCTAAAAATTAGATAAAAAAGATTTTATTTGCTTATCTAAGATATTAAAATGACGAAAAAGTCATTTAATTCCTTTCTTCAGTGATATCAAGTTAGTGGGGAGGAAACTTAAAGAGTGTAGTTTTTAAGTTAGCGGAGCTGAATGGAATATTTCCGCAAAAGGATATTGTTATAAAATCTATATAAGAAAGCATCAGTAGCGTTTCTTCTTATTCGCTTAAAAAAGTATGCAAATTTACTATTTTTCATATATAAATTATTTAGTTACTTATTTACTTACTTACAATAATATGAAAAGATATCAGAAGAAATATCTTTGTTTTTTATTGATTGGTTTTTTGAGGATCAAACTAGTGCATTTCATTTTTAGGTCTTTGAAATCTACAGCTAAATATGCAAAAATATTAATTCAGCTGACTCATTAAAAAATTCAACTCAAACAAGATAATTATCATTCAAAGTAAATTCATTAAAGCTATTATTTTTTAATAAAACTCTTTAAAAATTTAAGATCTTAAGTAACATGCTTACAAATTTAGTGCTTGCTTAATCTAAAAACTACAACTAATATATAGTTTAACATATAATTCAATTTATAACATCTAAGAAATAGCAAATCATAGAAATATTTTGCAACAACTTTAAATCAGATTTGAATTCTGCAACTTTCAAAGTAAAGATAATTTTTTTCAATTCAATTAAAAAACTTATCTAAAACTAAAACTAAAGCAATAAATAGAAGTAATTAGTCACTTAAACTAATTAACAGAGAGCTAATTTATATTTCAAGATTTAATTAATTCGACCTTTAACATTGCCTTTGACATGCTAATAAACTTGTAAAATGATTGAAATTTTTACTTTGAAAATTTAAATTTTGGAAGTTGCAAAATGTAATTGACTATGAAAAATTAAAATTTAGAAAGGACGTTCATGTAATTTTAGAGTATCACAAGTAATCGTATGAATAGATATCTAAAAATGAGTTATTAAAACAATAATGTAACTTTAAATTAATTCAAATTAATAAAGCATTTAATTTAAATTGAATAAAGATGCTCTCGGTCTTAGAAATTCATTGGAAAATTAAAACTATTAAATTAATTTAGCATTTGTAATTCATTAGCTTATTCAAAATAATGACATATAAATGTTTAAAAATATATCTTCATTCTTATTGGCAAATATTGATGTTATAGAAAAGTTTGAAATATCTTATAGACATTTCCTCATAAAAAGGTAAATAAATAAATAAATTTATCTAAGATTAGATAAATGTTTTATTAAATTGTTTTTAGATTGTAATTAGGAGAAGGTGAAAACGAAGCAAACTTTTTTGATATATTGTGTAAAATTATTGGAAGTAATAAGATTAGTCATATCACACAAATAGTTAGTGATTTGAAGAAAGAAAAGGATAAAATGTGGGTTCGGTAAAGAAATTTATTGAAATAAATTGAATTTTGAAATTAATTTTAAAATAAAAAAGAGATAAGAATGTTTCCATTTTGCTAATAAATAAACAAAATGCTACATTCCAGCAAATTATAAATTAGTTTCAAAGATAAAATATTCCTTAAATCAGTGAAATCTAAAAGATAATAACAAATATTTTTACTACTCTAAAATAAAGTATGTCTAAAAAATAATTTCTACTTACCAATGATGTAAAAATATATTTATTTAAAGCTAATTAATTAAAACTGGTGTTATTTAAGATAATAGTCAAAGTATAGATACAATTTTCAGATAAGAATTATGTTGTTTAACTCTCTCTTGATTAGTATTCTCTCTTAAGCTAATTTTAAAAGAAAAATTAAATTAAAAAAGATGAACTTAAGTATATTTTATTTCATTCTCAAATAATTAATAAAAAATTACTTTTTAACAGAAAAGTATCGTCCTTGAATGATGAAGATTTTCAACTTAATTTACAATCACTGATTAATTCATCGTTTAATGGCTAAAATTTACTATTAGTTAAAGATGTAAAGTTATTTATTTACTTTTAAGTGTTAGAGGGAATTCAAATAATTATTTAAAAAGGATGATATTTAGTTTAATCTTAAATTTGGGAATAACAATTAAGAATATGACTTTTCAATGGAGTGTAATGTTAAGTACTTGATTGGTCATTTCCATAAATCTTCCCAGAAAGAAAATAAAAAGATAGCCATTTCTTTTGAAGAAAATCCTGGATAAAAAAAATATATGTAATTATTTCTCTGCAATTCTATTCACAATCATTCTAATAAATTAATTTAATTAAAGTATTGAAGCAGGTATTGTAAAAATGGCAAAGCAATTAATGTCGTTTGATAAAAATGTCATATTTTAAAAGACCCTTGATTATTTGAGAGATAAAATACAGCTTGATTTTACCAACTTTGATACTGCTCTTGAAGGATTGATAAAAAAATAATACATCGAAGACAAAGGGTAATGTTAATTAATTAATTAATTTTAATAATTAATTATTTATTTATTTATTTATTTATTTATTTATTTATTTATTTGAATTAATTCATTAAGATAAAATTAGTATAAATACATTCCATGAAAATATTGTAAGTAAAAACCTTTAAGTAAGTAAGTAAGTAAGTTAATGATCACTTTCTATGCTAAAATTAATTAGCTATAATAAATTATAATTAATAATTACCTTAATAACAAACTTCTCTACATATTTATAATTGTTTTATATATGAAATGATTTATATATATTTTAGTAACATCTCAAAAAATTTTTGTTCTTAAACAACAATTATATAAAACTTACTTTTTATTTTTTATTTAAAATTAACTATATTTATTATTACAAAGAAAAAATATCAATCTATATTTTCTCATTAATTAACACCAATATTTTTTTGTAGTTTTAATTGATTGATGTAAATAATTTATAATAAAACAATTTCAACAAATAAATTTACTTAACCTCTTGGTTAAACTTAATTCTTCATTTATTTTTTTATAGAAAAATACAACTAAATTAATTTACTACTTTCAAGAATATAAAATATATATTAGATAAATTTAGTATAGCAAGATGCCATTCAAAAATTCCGTTGTTTGGATGTCACTTATTATGAATTTTAAAAAAAATTAAAATTTTTATTTGATAGAGAAAAAAATAAAAGATAAATTTTATATATTTAAAAAAATTTAAACTGTTTATATTAATTAACCTTAATATAAATAAAGACTACATATTACAAAATACTAAATGAAAATATTAATATTTCTAGTTAAATATTTTTAAAAATTAAAATAAATAAATATTTTATTTAACTGAAAAAATCTATATCTTTTAATTTTATTTCAAATAATTTATTAAGTTTTTTTTTGAAATTATTAAAATATATTTTTAGTTAAATAATTTATTTATGTATTTAAGTTACTAAATTAATTATGCATATTTAGTAAATTATTTGTTTGTTTAAAATTCACAAATTTTTATCAACTTCTGACTAATAAATCAAAAGAAATTAATAGAAACTAATATTATCAAGATATGCAAAATAGCATGGAAAACCTAAGTTAAATCAAACAAAAAGCGAGGTCCGAACTCAGTGGGTAAAAATAGTGAATCATGATTGTAAGTACAGTTGATAGATGTAGATGTCATCATTACAATTATATAAAGCATAAAGCACTGGTAACCACTCATCTACTTAATTAACTAACTTTCTTTTCTAAAAGGAGAATCATGCCTGTTTAGAGGTAGATATTTATATTCTTACTATAAACGTTTTTTTTGACCATCTATAATAGCTTGTGTTTAGTCAGCAAAAGATGTATTTTATATATGCTAACTGAAAAAGAAACCTAGAATTTAGAAACTGAATTAGTTTATTGTTAACAAATATCCACTAATTAAAAGATTATATTTTTCGAAACCAACATAAGCACTTTATACTTACAGAGAAGTAATTTCTGCTTTGTGTCCTAATTTTATTTATTAATATTAAATTACATTTTTGTAAAATTAAAATATGTTAAAAAAAATATTATATAATAAATAAAGAAATAATTAACTTACCTGATATCAAGTAGAAGTACTATACAAGTGCTAACAAAAATGCATATGTAGTCAAATCTGAGCCTCTATTTTAAGATATTGAATATGAGTGATAAGTATCAAATACGTAATGGAATATCAAACAAAGGTAAAAAGAATGCTTATTGATAAGCATTAGCAAGGTCACATTAAGGTTAATAATATGGGCTAGAATATACTTATTAGGGAGATATGAGCTTTTATTTTTAAAAATCAAGTAAGCATTAACAAACATAATTAAGTAAGATATTCTTGCAACATAAACATTCATTATATTGACTGTCGAATTTTCATTTTATTCTAAAATCACAAAGTATATAGTAACAACAAGGAAATTAGCCAAAAAAAGGCTTTTACTAATTCCTTAAAATGCTTTTTTCTTATTCAAATAAAAGAAAAACATGATCGAAGGTATACATATGTGAGACTCAGTAAAAAATTTCATAAATTTAGAAATTAGCTCAAATCTGACTTGTTCTTGAGTATACTTTATAATTAATTATAATATCAAATTAAATACTGCTTGATTTTTCAAAAATTTAATTAAATTAATTACTCTTATTGATTATGTAACATCAAAATATTGGGCTAAGTAAAGTATTATTGGTATAGAAAGTAATTATAATTGCATTTTTATATTTTTAAATTATCCATCCTTGAATAAAAAGAAGCAATCAATCATTGTACCTATAGCCAACCCATACCAAATCATCATATCTTTATTTAAATATCAAATAAATATTAAATAAATAAAAAAACAATTAAATAAACAAATAAAAAGGCAATTAAAAAATAAACAAATAAAAAAGTAATTTAATAAATAATATTTATTGTATTTAATTTTGGTTATTATAATTTTACCTTCAGTACGATGGGCGTGAAGAGAGTTCATAGAGTAAGCTTGAAATCCAAAATACAAAAAGAAAGTAATTAATCTTCTATTGATAATGCTAACAGGAAAAGATAGAATTAAACTTTCTTCTTTTTTCTTAATCAAAAATGTGATATGGGCAATATCTTTTCCTATATAACATATATAATAAACCAAGGTAGGAATAAGCAGTAATCCTATAGTAAATCCAAGAGTTATTTCAAATAAAATTGAGATTCCAACTATAGATAGTAGAAAGAAGCAAAAATACAATATATTAGACATTGTTAATATTCTACTTTAGCAATAAATAGATTTGTCATAGTGATTGCTCAAGATCATAAAATAGATTGCTAAAACTAAGCATAACAAGCTGATTAAAATAAAATTGATGTTTCCTATCAGTATTTATGGAATATTCATTTGATTCCAAGCTTTTCTGCAAATTTCTTTTATTTAAACTTAGCATTTCTTTACTTTGTTGATGTAACTAATCATCATTTCTTCCTTCAACTCAATATTTTACTAATTATTTATCTTTTTAAATTCCTCTTCTAAATCATCCAAACTAGTCTAAATGAATAAGTATTAGTTATCTGTCATTTTTTTTGATAGAGATTAAACTTTTTAGATATTCTTGTAGACTTAGTTTAAATTGTAGTGATAATCCTAATTAATTTAAAAACAAATATATGCATTCATAAGATTTATATATTTATAAATGTATTTAGTTACTTTGAAAATTTATTCGAGTGGAGTGTTTGCAGGATAGAAGTCATTTATGATTAACCCAATATTGTTATATGGTATTGGGATTCCAAATAGCATAGAGATTGTGGAAGGGATGTCAATTTAATTAGTGAGTTTCTTGTAAGTAGGATCAAAGTTGTTAATTCTAGGCTCTTTCTTAAATCCTTATTTTGAATATGCAAAAATACCAACAGATGTTTCTTCAAATGTACTTCCTCCATGATGACCAGATTCAGACATACCATGATCTCCCATTAATATAAGAACATCATCATCATTCATTTATTTAATTATCAATCTTAATTATTAATCCATTTGTGTCAATTTTTTAGACATTTGCTCATGATTGCTATTTAATGCATGGCCAACATGATCAACTCCATTGAAATGAGCTAAATTTTAATGTTTAAAAATACTTAATTTTAAAAAGCAATAATAAATAAATAAATACCTATCAAAAATTTCAAGTTTGGCTATTTAAGTTCTTCTTCTAAATGATCAATCACAACGTTGTCAGTAGTATGGAAATCAAATATATCTAAGCTATCAGCATAAAAATCTCTAGTGAATTGCTTAGAAAACAAACCTGTCCAAACATCATCTCCTAAATGAACTATTTCTAAATTATGTCTTTGCATTTGCAGTAATAAATTGTCCTCTTCTCTCTAAATAATTATTTTAAATTGAATAAAAAATTAAATCCATGAGAATGTATTCATTTTCAGTATTTGTATTTAAACAACACAAGATATTTGCTTATAATTAAACTATTTAACTAAGTTCTTTCTTTCTTTTTCTTTCGTTTATTTATTTGTTTGTTTGTTTGTTTGTTTAAGTTATTAAAGGATTAGTAAAATGGTGTAACAACTTTAACAAATACTTAAATAAGATTTGTTTTATTTAGCTTCATTTTAATTATCTTTATTTATAATAAAAATACCTGTGAAAAAGTGAATGTAGCTGCAATTTCAATAAATGATGGAAGATTGCCAATAGTTATTCCCTTAATTCTTTAAGTTGTTGCTGTAGGAGGATCACTATAACCTTATAAATGAATGGTATTGTTAGGTTACTTCTCCATCATTTCTTAAATTATTGTCAGCTTATTTTTAAAGTGTTCTAAGGGAGTTCCATCATCATTTTCTTCAAATTTTTGAGTAAAATCGAATCTAAGCGCATCAATAATTACTAAAATAACTTTGTTTGCCTATGGCTTTATAAATTCAGAAGTTGATGAAATATCCGGGAGAGTCTCTTTTATGATAAAAAAACCATTTTGATAAACATACATGGTTGATATAAGTAAAGCAAGGAATTGCAAAACTAGTAAAAAGATCTTTTTGTTGGAATTCATTTTATTTAATTTCAAATCTAATTAACTAACTAATCTTCTACCTATTTAAAAACTTATTTTAATTAAAATTTTTTTCAAATTATTTATTTAATCAAACTATGCTTAATATAAAAATTAATATATTGTTAAAGGATATAAGTAAAATAAATAAAATAGTTAGATTTTGTAGACAAACAAGCATATTGATTAAAAAATATAATCAAATTTATTAAAATCAACAAAAAAAGTAATTTAATTACACACTGATTTGCTTAACTCATACTTAAGACTTAAATTCAATTATATAAGATTACACGCGTAGTATTTATACATATAATTTATTTTAGATTCTTAAAAAATAGTGATTTAAAGAATTATTTGGTTAAGTTCATCATGATTAATTTCGATGCTAATTTTAAATTTTTAGAAACTAAAACCAGAAAAAAATTTACACATTTATGTGAATTCTAGAATAAATGAAATGGATTGATTATACAAACAAAAAATCAAAAACACCTATTTATTAAAAAATTAAATAATTTATTTTTAATGTTTAAACTATTTACTAAAATTAGCTTAAATAAAAATGCAAATTTTATTTATATAACTTCATTCATTTTAAATTAAATTAGATATTTACACATAAACTTCACTTAGTAAGTATTAATCATAGTTTTTTTATAAATAAATAAATATTTAGAATATAATTTTATTCAAAAATACCTTCAATCAGTTAATTTCTAAATAAAAATAAAAAATTCTTTCTAGATAAAAAGAATAATTAAAAGTGAAATATTGAATTTTTAAGTTTTGAAATGCTAGCTAGTATTAACCAGAATAAAAAATGACTCACATTTAATTTATTTATTTATTTTTTAATAATTTCATTAAATATTTACACGTAAACTCCACTTAGAAAAAATAAATAATCATCTTTTAATTAATAAATATTTAAAAATAAAATTTGATTGAAAAAAATGACTTTAATCAATAAAATAAATAAATAAATCAATCAATCGATTTCTTAATAATCTTAGAATAGGTCTGTAAAAGAAGCTTATTCGTTATCTATATTAAAATCTTCATCTTCATCAAAATTATCTTAATTTTCATCAATCATCTAATTTTTTTTCTATTTCTTTTTTTCATTGCTTAATTTTTTAACATTTTCATTTAAGAGAAAGGGATTTAATGGAATCTTCTATGAAGTCTTTAAAGAAGAATTTTTATTTTACAAAAGTTAAGAAAATTATTCATTAATTTGGAGAATCTAATTTTTATTTTATTTTGGCTGTAAAGGTTTTTCATTTATCATACGAGATGAATCCTCATTCTAGTAATCATCAATAATTATCATTTAACTGTCTTATTAATTCAAAAGTTCTCTATAGGATTTTCTCTTTTCCTCACTAATGCCTACCTCAACTTTTGGATTTAAATAATAACCTAGCTCGGAGTTTCTTTTCTTTTTATTAGAACTTTCTTCTAATTTTATTTTATTTTAAAATTCTACTTATAAATTAGCTTTATTTCTATCATTCTCGTTTTCTATTAAATCTATAATATGAGTTTGCTTATTGCTACTATGATTTATCTAGTCTTGCTCAATTTTTGTTTTTCTAAAATTCTATGATGGTTCAAATAAGCTATTAGAGTTAGGCTAAAACGATCCTAAAGTAGGCAAAGGTGTTGTATTATTTTCATTTTACTTTTCTAAACATTCATTAATTATATTTTTTAATTATATTTTAAAATTTATTTCATTTATTTTTTTAAAATTTTAAAAATGCTAAAATTAGAAAAATTAAATATAAATTTTTCAAAACAAAATGTTAAAATTGTTTACATGGATTGCATTTTATTGTGAGTTAATTTATTTGGTTTACAATTTAATCAATGTTTTCTCTAGATAGATTATGAGAATCCCTAATCATTCTTTTCTTCTCATTAAGTAAGGCAGCAAACTATTTTGAATTAAAATTTAAATAAGAACTTAAAGTTATTAATCAATTATCCAAATTACTTTTTTTATTAATTGTTGTTCTTGTTTTTTTGCATCTTCTTGTTGTTAAGTTAGTTGTTTTTTTAACAAATCATTATATTTTCTGAGTTATTCGTTTTACTTCTAAATAGATTTTACAGATTCCTTCATTTTAATAAAATGTAATTTTATCTAAAAATTTTATTTTAAATATTCATACATTTTTTGCAGTGATTAGCTTTTAGAAGCAATCAAATGAATATACAAACTGTGAATCAACTAAATGAGGCTATAACTCAACTGTTATGAGGCTGTACTTTAATAATTATTTTTGGAATTCAAATTAAATTACATCAAATATATAAGTAAATTTACTTTAATTCTTTAATCGATATAGTTGATATTTAGCTATTATTTTTATAAAATTAATTTTATTATTTTCTTGTTAATGTAATTAATCCATTTTACTATTTTAGAGTTATCCCCTGGTTTATTGCTTGACACTAAAGAGAATTAATGATTTTCTGATTTTTTGTTATTTAACTGCTTTAAAATATTATCGAAGTATTCATTGTTCCATGTAATTTCTTAGTTCAAATCAGTATTAAACACTATATTAATTTTAAAAATATCTTTATAAAACTCAGCAAATCTAATTTCTACTTATAAAATTCATAATTTTGTTAAAAGAATTAATTTACTTTCAGCTTTAAATATTTGAATCTGTTCTTTTCCATTCTGAATACTTGATATGAAGCACTAAATAACGCCTTTGATAATTAAATGTTCATTATATTTAATCTAGTAAAGAACTTAACTTACCAATCGATTGTTTATCCTTTTTAGTGATAGTGAATTTTTTAGATATTGATGAAATCAGATAAATTGTTTAGCCTTTTATTTTTACAAGATAAAATTGCAACCATAAACAACAAAAATGAAAATAAAAACCTTGAGCAGTTTCTCTTTTAGTAAAAAGATTAAATTCTTCTGAATGTGTGTTTTGTTCTAATGCAAACATTTCAATTGAGACGAGATTCTTTAGATAACTTAGATTTTTTCGCCAAAATTTTTTTGAATTTTTAATTTTAATTAAGGTTTAATAAAAAGATCGTGTTTAATAAAATTAATAAAAATAATTAATGAATGAGTGTATTTGAGATTGATTGATAGATAGATATTTTACAAATCATATAAATAATATTTTTTTAATCATCAAATTTCAAGTAATTTAATTGTTTACAAATAAATATATAAAAAGCATAGAATGAATTAGAATTAAGGAATCATAAATAAACAGTTAAAATTAATATAAATGTTTCTTTAAAATATAATTTAAAAAATTATTTATTTACTTACTTACTAATTATTTTTGTTTTTATATATAGGTAGCTTAAAAGAATAAAAAGAAAATAGAGAATTTTAAAATGCTTTAGTCAGCCTTTACTAAAACTTTAGTTTTTTTGATGGCGTTTGCGTTTGAGTTTGAAAGATTTTTTACAATTAATATTTTATTTTTTTTAAAGCGAAATATTTCAAGTAATTTAATTTGAAACAAATAAATATTTAAAAATTATTGAATGAATTAGAATTAAGGAAATTAGTTAAAATTAATACAAATGTTACTTAAAAATATATCTTTAAATAATTTAAAAAATTATTTACTTATTTATTTATTTATTTATTTATTTATTTATTTATTTATTTATTATTTCTGTTTTTATATTTAGGCAAGCTTAAAATAATAAAAGAAAAAAAATAGAGAGTTTTAAAAAATATTTTAGTCAGTTATTACTAAAAAAACCTTAGCTTTTTGGTTGTGTTTGAGGTTAAAAGATATTTAGCAAATCGTATTATATTTTTTTAATCAGAATATTTAAAGCAATTTAATTGTATACAAATAAATATATAAAAATATTGAATGGATTAGAATTAAGCAATAATAATTAAAATTAATACAAATGTTACTTAAAAATATAATTTAAAATAATTTAATAAATTATTTACTATTTATTTCTGCTTTTATATGTATGTATATAGGCAGAGCTTAAAAGAATAAAAGAAAATAGAGAGTTTTAAAATATTTTAGTCAGTTTTTACTAAAACTTTAGTTTTTTTGGTCACTCCCTTGATTCATTGGAGTTGTTCTGTGGGTTAGGGTTCTGTTCAGCTGAATTTTTTCAGGAATATTCACTTTTTCAATTTAAATATGATTTGAGCCTTACTTTGGTTTTATTTCAGTCATATTTTCTTCATGTTGTTTAAGTAGTTTAGCATAGGCAGATTTGAATTCTACCTGCTCGCTCTTGTAGCTTTAAAAGTTAGCATAATATGTTTTATCGTAATTCATATATTCAATGTAAGAGAACTGTATTAAAGATATATATGCTAGTATATCAAAAAATATGTTGAGAATATTCTCCATGCGAGACAGGTGAATTTCAAATTAATCGAAATTAATGCAAAACGAAGAATCTTTTATGTAATTGCAAACCCTGTTTTTGCTTTTCTTTAAGTCTTGCAATTGGTTTCTTTTCGTTTCTTCTAGTTGACGCACTGTTTGTCTGTATTTGTTTGAGTGTTCAATAATTTGGAAACTTACATGATAAAGTGTATCTTTTTTTACTGTTGTCGGGATAAGACATTCAACACCCTTTTTCTAAAAGAGTTTATATTCTGTCAAAGTCAAATTATTTTTCTTAATCAGTATTTTTTCAAGCTCATTGTCTTCATTTGAGTAATTTACTAAAGAGTTTAGTTCAGTTTAAGCAAATCTACTTACGTTTTTTATATCTATTTCTGTTAATTTATTCTGATTTTTACGCAAAAAGGAAAACATATCTGAATTACAAATGTAGCCGTCTTCATTTTCGTCAAGCAAAATAAAACAAAGCACCACCTTTTACTTAGGAGTTAAATTTAATAGCTTCTCTACTAATCTCACATATGTCATGTAATCTACTTTTAACGGAATCTCTAAAAATGAAATGAGCTTCTCTACCAAACCTTCATGATATCTCTTCAGCAGGTACTAGCGGAAATTAGCTCTAGTTGTACGTATATTGAGAATTTATTGCTACTCAGGAGCATTTGATATTTTTTTAAATATTTGATGCAAGCCTTATTCCTTGTGATTGAGCTTTATATGATAGTAATGAGAGTGATTGTTTTTGTTTAAACTACCTTCTGATTAAATTATTTTGAATTACTATGATATACTTCTTTCTTTCCACTCACTTGCACTTATCATTTTAAACTAATTTGGATCATTTTTCTTTTTTAAAGTAGAGAAATTTTATTTAAGAGTTTTGTTGCTAGGCAGATTATTTGTAAAATAAGGAATATCTTAAAAAGAACGATTTGTTTTTTTCATAGAGTTATCTCTATTCATAATTTAGGAATAAGGGCCTTCTTCATTCCTTTTATACACTGGACTTGCAGCCAAAGACTTTGCAAGAACCTAATGAACTCCTTCTTAACTTTATTTTTGTTATATGAAGTCATTATCTATTGAAATATGATTACTCTTTTATTTAATGTCAGAGAAATAATGTGTTTTTCTCAAAGCGCTTTAAATTTTTCTTTCAGTTTAATTTTAATTAGCATTAATTGATTAAAATATATTAGGAGATTGCTAAATACTACTAACTTATTCATTATTACTATTATATGATATTGAGTAATGTTTTTGTCTCTTTTTAAGCAAGCTGCTCATTGGAGCTGAAACAAAAATGCTTTAATTTCCATTATTCCTTGAAGGTGTTTCTAATCTCCGATCTTTAGATAAAGCCGTCGTTTCCCTATAAGAGTCTTAATCTTAAACTAGTTATCTCTCTGTTCCTACTTCACTGTTTAAATAAGATGGTATTATTGTTTGATCGTTTCCATAAAAGCTTTTGTTATTTAAGTCAAATTTGTTCTTGTTAAACTTTAGTCTTTAGTAAGCACTATTAATACTTTATTACTCTCTAGAAGAATTTAATTCTCCTAAATTATAAAATGAATTTACATTTGAGCTCAACTAATCCCCTTGAACCCTCTGATTAGTAGAAAAAGGGCGCTTCGAATTGTAAAATTTATTCTTTTAAAAAGATTAAAAATAATTTATTGAAAAATTTACTTTAATTAATCAGTTAATAAAAATAATCAATGAGTGAGTGAGTGAGTGAATGAATGATTTATCAAGTAATATTTTAATATTCAAAACATTCTATTTGCTTATTTATTCTTGTAAGTAAATTAAAATGGGACCAAGCAAATTTTGAATTTCATGCCAAATTAAATGAAAAATAAATCAATAACTTACTGCAGTATTCTCCATTTTTGAATTAAGCGTGTAATTAGTTTCGTAGCCACATTTTTGTATTGAATTTGGTGATGTATTTTATGATTGATTGAATTATGAATTATATTCAAATTAAGAACTAGTTTTACTAGGACTGTATAAAGAAAACTACATCCTTCTTTGAGTATTTACTGCTTGCCCTTGCATGTCGTTATTCTTAAGAGTCTGCAAAAAAGCACCATAAAGCTTTTCTTCTGCAACCCTCTTTAAAAAGCGTTAAATATTGAATCCATTAGCTTCATCAAATAACCCTTTATTATTTTAACGTTCTTTAGCAATGTAAGCTCTCTAATCATTTTTATTTGTTGAATTTTCCGCTATAGCTATATCTCTATACTTTTATTCGTATTATTCCTCCACATTTTTAGGTCTATTCTTGTTGAGACTCTCTGAGTCTATATTTAAATTTTATAAATTAGGATTGTTTTTAGCATCTTTTTCTCCTATCACTTGAATCATTCCCTTAGAAAATTGAAGCGACTAAAAACCATTAGTTTAATTAAGTATTTATCTCTTTTTTACAGAAAATTTGGTAGAGGTTTTTTGAAATTCCATTTCATTATGCTATTCTTCAACTATACATTAGCTAGTGTTAGACAAATGGCGAAGGCCTGTCTTTTTCAGCTCATTTAAATCATTATCCATGAGCTGCTTATTCTATTAGTTAATTAAAGAATAATTATTTATTAAGCAAAAGCTATTAATAAATGTTGATTTATTTTCTTTTAATGTAAATTTATTATTGGGTAATCTTGCTTGATTTTTGATATCTAAAAATTTCCTTATTATAAGCCACAACAAATTTGATAAAAATATTAACAATATTTATAATTACTTAGTATTTAGCTAATTATAAACTGCATTCATTATTAACCTTCTAAATTTATTTAATAATCAAATAATATTTTTATAAAAGTTTATTTGTTGGTTAATCAGTCAGTCGGTCTACTCATTAATATTAATTTTATTCACAAAACTATTATTTTAGTTCGTTACTAACCTCATTGAGTATTTTTTATAATTTTAAATTTATTTAATTAATTAGTAAGTTTATCAAATTTATCGATTAAAATTAGAAGTTTGCTAAATCTTATTTTAAAAAAAACTGAATTAATAGCATTTTAAATAATCTAATTTATATTTTATTTTAAAATTGTATGAATAAATCATTAAAAATTTTATTTAGTTTTACTAAATTTAAATAGAAGCAATAGATTATTTAGAATTGAAAAAATTAAATAAACAAAATGGCTCTTTAACTAGTTTATCAGTATAAAATATCTGAATTTAGTAGTAAATTTAAATAAGTATTCTGTAATTTAATAATCAAAGTATTTATTAAGTAATTTTTAGAAGCTACATCAATTCATTTTAAAAAATGTAAAATAATAAAATAGTTAATTGAAAATAAAAATTTTTATTCAAAATTTAAAACAAACAAACAAACAAATAAGAAACTAAGAAAATGCTTTTGATAATAAATTTTGAATTTCTATAAATACACCTCAAAATATTCAAAACAAAAAGAAATAAATTAAAAATTATAAATATAGAGCTGTTCTCAAATTTTAAAATTTTCAGTTGAAAGACAATTATTTTTGGAGAGAATTATTTTAAGGTTCATGGGTATATATTTTTCATATTTTTTTAATGAAAAATTATAAATATCTTTTTTGATATCAAAGGAAATATTTCAAAATATCATTATCATATCATATCATATTTAATAACAATTATTGTTATATTTTTTAAATATTTTTAAGTTATTTAATAATCAATAGTAAATTTTTAATTTTTTAACTTTATTGGACATAATGATTTAGTTTCTATTGTTTAATAAAGTAGGATTGTATTAAAGCATTTTATTTTTTGTTTTATTAAATTATTTTTATATTTGAATTATTATTTTATCTATTTTAATATAATAATAAAATATTATAATTAGTAAATTTCAGCAGCCAAACTTGTTTTTATTTGAGAGCACATAAGAATGATTATTAATAAAATACAATTTTGTTAATTACTTACTTGTTTGTTTGTATTAAATTCAAAATGGTTTGAATTTCATCAAGTTAAATATAAAATAAAATATTTCAATTATTTCTTTGAATATCTGTTTAATTAATAAATTTGTAAAAAATTTTAATAAAAATATAAAGAAAATATTAAATAATAAAATTATTTATATTCAAATTTATCTTTTCTTTAGATTTTTCAATAAAATCATAAAACAGCTTTATAAGAAATTCGAATTCATTTTTTCAATAAAAATATTTAAAATAATAATTTTTTTATGAAACTTTTAAAAATATTTTACCATCTTTTTTGCAGGAGAGCCAAATAAAAAAACATATAATAATATTAAATTAAACTCGACAGTAACATTATGAGAAAAAAAATATTTTAACCATCTCCTTAAACCTTAAAAAAAATATATGAATTATTTATTGAATGATTAATTCTAAGTAATTTATGAAAATCTAAATTATAATTGAAAATATTTTAAAATAAGATTTATAATCGAATTTTTATTTTTTTTCAAATATAATTTAATTTAAAATGGTATGTATACATGAAATTTCTTAATTTAATTATCAATTATGACCACATTTCTAAAAATCTTACAGGCACAAATTACTTCTGTCAAAAATTATGTAAAAATTAAATTAGAAGTTTAACAATTTTATTTAAAGATTAAATATTTTATAGGAAATATATTCTAAATAAAGCCTAAAAAATATAAATGATAAAACTAATATAGAATAAGCTATGATATGGATCAACTCAATATGTCCGTTTTCTATTAATAGATTGAATGGAGTAGTTAAATAAGAAATAAAAAATAAAAAATTATATTGCGGGGATGATGTAATTAGTAGATTAAGGATTGGTATGATCTAATTAGTTAGATTTTGCAATATACGTCACTGTTCGGAAAAGAGATAGATTCAAATGGAATACTTTCAATAGTTTCTAATAACTTTACAAGAAATCAATACATTTCACGTCTTATTAGAAAAGCAGTAGAAACAAAAAAATAAAAAAAATAACAAAAAAAGAAAGAAAGAAAAAGAATAAAGAAAAATAAACTTTGAAAGAATTAAAGAAAAAGAAGTACTTAATTTATAAATAAATAGTTTGCATATAATTTTTAATAACCATTTTTTCTAAAACTAAAGTAGACATTTGCTAAAATGGAGAGAATCTCAGAAATTAATTAACAAGTTAACAAAAACGATGTTAACAAAAAGGACACCCTTACCATCACTGACAGAAAGGGTAATTGTTTAAATTTCCTTTCTCCTTATTTATGGAGCTTTGTCTCCGGTCTCCTACTTGACTTTTCTTCTCCTTTCTCTTTATTTATTTTTTAAAAAATCTTAAAACTACTACTGAAAGAAACTAACTTTTTGTATACATTTTTGGAGCAATAATAAAAATAAAGTAAAATGAGATTAAAACGATCTACTTACATAAAATAGGTAATACTTTCGAATTGAAGATCCACAATAACGAATTCATCTAAGCAAATGACTTGCTCAAAGTTGGATTAAAAGACGAAGGAGTTTTACGTAGTTATGATCCTGGTTATATGAATACCATATGTTGTGTAATTAATTACTTATTTCGAAAACTTGATTTACACAATAATTCATGATAAATATGGATAATTTTCAAAATTAAGTTGCTGATAGAATCATTTAAAGATAGCAAATCGAAATATAAATGATAGATCATCAAACTTTAAAATTAAAACATAGATTTGACTTATATTCATTCTTTTTAAACGGAAAATTAAAATAGACTTCCAAGATCAGTTATATCGATGGTGACAAAGGTATTTTAGAATACAGAGGTTATCCTATTGAACAATTGGCTGAAAAGTCTAACTTCCTTGAAGTTGCCTTCCTCTTGATCTACGGAGAACTTCCCACTCCTTCTCAATTCTAAATCTGGAAGAACAAGTAAGAAAACTTCTCAAAAATTTATTTTGAATAAATAAATAGATCTATTTATTTCCTCTTTATTTACAATTAAAATTCTATCTCGTTTTAAGTGACGCAATCTAAATACGTAGATCATTCATTTCTTAAATAATCAACCGATATAATTAATAACAATCAATATTATTTATTTTTTCTTTTTATAATTCATTCAGCGATAATCAAATAAACAAATTATAAAAATTAGCTGACTGATTCTATTTTATTTATTTATTTAATCGAAATAAACTAACTTTTATTATTATATTTCCACATATCATATATAAAATAAACTAACACTTGATTAAACCAATAAATAAATAGCAACTAATTAAGCCATCGCCAAAAGTGCAAGCATAAAAACAAACTAAGCAAATATTCTATAATATTTACTATAAACCACACAAATAAAATAATAAATAAAATAGGATTTAAAAAATTAGCTTAAAGCTGGAAATAAATAGATAGATAAACAAACCAATATGGTTTAAATAATCTTAATTTGCTTTCAAAAGATATTTGATTTTTACTTATTCACTTTTATTTTTTAAATTTAATAGAATTTAAACACACACTTTTGTCCACTAAGATATCAATCAAATGATGAAGTCTTTCAGATACGATGCCCATCCTATGGGTATGCTTGTTTCTACCATAGCCGCTACTTCAACATTCCACCCTGAAGCAAACCCTGCTTTATCTGGTTAAAATATTTATGAAGACTCTACTGTTAGAAACAAATAAATTCATAGAATTCTTGGTAACATCACAACTATTGCTGCTAACTGTTACAGACACAGAATCGGTCGTTCCCATAACAAGCCTCATCCTAAATTGGACTACGTTGAAAACTTCCTTTACATGTTAGATCGTTTGAATGAAAATAAATATTTACCTCATCCTAAATTAGTTAAGGCTTTGGATATTTTATTCATCTTACACGCAGAACATGAATTAAATTGTTCTACTGCTGCCATCCGTCATTTATGCTCATCAGGAGTCGATGTTTATTCATGCATTTCTGGTGCTGCTGCTGCTCTCTATGGACCCAAGCATGTAATAATTAAATTTTAATTTATATTCTTCTTAACAATAAATAAGCTGAAATATTTAAATTTCCAGTAGTTTAGTTATAAAAATTATAAAGCAAAAGTAAAAAAAGCATTCTTAAATAAGGAATATGAAAATATGAATTGGTGAAATGCAAATTAAAAATAAAGAAAGAAAGAAATTAGCAATAATATAAAATAAATAAAGATTTGAATGAATTAATTTACTTTAATTGATATTAGCAAAGCATTGAAAAATAAATTGTTTATAAACAATTTAATTTTATTAATAAAGGGTGGTGCCAATGAAGCTGTCTTAAGAATGTTAAATCAAATTGGTAAGAAGGAAAATATTCCTCAATTTATTCAAGATGTCAAAGACCGTAAGAAATTATTATTTGGTTTTGGTCACAGAGTTTATAAGAGCTACGATCCTAGAGCTAAAATTATCAAGAGAGTTGCTGATGAAGTCTTTGAAATTGTTGGAAAGGAACCTCTTGTTGAAATAGCTATTGAATTAGAAAAGATTGCTTTATCTGACGAATATTTTGTTAAGAGAAAACTCTACCCCAACGTTGACTTTTACAGTGGTGTTATCTACAAAGCTATGGGCTTCCCCACTGATATGTTCCCTGTCCTCTTCACTATTCCTAGAGTTGCTGGTTGGTTAGCCCACTGGAACGAGTTCGTTAATGATCCTGAAAATAAGATTGTTCGTCCTCGTCAAAATTATCAAGGTCTTTCTAACAAGGATTATGTTGATATCTCCCAACGTTAAGAAGTAATTAATTCTTTAAATAATATAAATTTAAATATTTTATCAAGTAAATAAACCATTCATTAACTTACTTTATTAAATAAAATAAAAGAAATCTTCATACTTAGATGCATACAAAAGTGCTACTTCTAGAAGAAGATAAGTTTCTGTCGAATATACAGCCTAACGTAAAGAAGCCAAGCAAAGTGCTACTTAAGCTTGAGGGAAAATATAAATATTATTTAAATACCTCTAAAAACTTAATATATAATAAATTTTACTCCATCAAATTTATATAAAATATATTCTAATTGTATTATTTCCTTTTTTTCTAAATAGTTATTCAATTCTTTCTATTCATTCATTCATTCATTCATTCATCTACAGCTATAAGTTTCATAAAAATAATGGTTTTAAAAGCTGTCAAAATATAAACTTAAATTGAAAAGATACTAAATTAAAACAAGAAACATTTTAATGTATTATTAGATTTATTTTTAAATACAAATTTAAATTCAATTTTATAGGTGTTAATTCATTAAATAAAGAAGTTGTTTGTTTGATTAAAATTAAAAAAAGAAAAATCTAAATTTTAATTTTAGGAAAACATAAAAAATATTTTAAGTAAAATGTATATATGTATTTTAATATTAAATACCAATATGACATGTTTAATTAACTTTATTGAACTTTATGAAAAATATATTATAAGTTTTAATGTAAAAATTATGCCTTCGAATATAAAAAAGAAGATTGAGTAATCAATTTTCAAAATTCTGAAATTTTAGGTTGGAAATAATGATAGATCTTAAGATTAAATAAAACAGAATTTCAACAAGTTTTTAATAAAATTTAAAATTTAATAATTGAAAAGTGAACATTTAAAGTTAATTTTAATTAAAATTAATCCTTAAAATATGATTTAAGAAATCAAAAATTAATATAAAATTGATATTTTTTAATATTTAAAATTTTATTAATAATTAAAAATAAATGATTAATCTTTAATGTTAAAATCTGCTTATTAAAACTAAAATTAAATAATTTTTATTTTGAATCAAATTATTTTAAGCTTTTAGAATTTTTATTTATTTTTAGTGATTGCTTCAAGCTATCTCTTAATTTAAAAGATAAATTTGAAATAACTTAATATTTAATAAATAATACTGAATAAATATTCAATTTTTTTTATAGTTTTTATCAAAATGTCATCTTGATGCTAATTAATTTTTGTCATTAAGAGGTAATCCTTTTAAATCGTTTTTTTGAACTTTATATTTCTTGACATAAGGAGCTATAACCTAAATATCATTTTATGTTAAAATATTATAAATTTTCATTCATAATTTGTAATTATTTTTACTTGTAATGAACCCGATTTAGTAGGTTTAGATGCTTCTATTACCTTTAAGCCGTTTAAATTTGAAGTACTATTAGATGCAATAGCTTTAAAGTTATTTAAGCTGTCATAAGCTTCTTGCAATTCCTGTAAAAAAATAAACAAAAACTTAATATCAATTGAATATTTTCACAAATTTTACTTTTTCTCTTCTATCTAGCTAAACCTATATATCTTATTTTTCTTTAGATACATGATCTAATATTTTTTATTACTATTTAATATCAACTTTAAATTGTTTTTTTGATGCATTTATGCTATCATCTACGATTTTTAAGTGATTCTACAATTTAAAAATATTCTCTTCATTGATCTAATTTAATAATTAATAAATTTATTGTATTTTCATTCATAAAATAGAAAAATAAAATGCTTTTTACTTTTAGCACGTGAAATTTGCCTTTGTCTTTTTCATCTTCTATTTTAATTTCTATTCTTTCATCCTTGATTACAAAGAAATTTTATCTTAAAATGCAACTTCTTTAATTAAAATAAATTACTTTTGCCAAACTTTCAAAGGGAGCAAAAGGAACACCAAATTATTTACACACTTCTTCATGTCTTAATTTAAGTTTTTCAGTGTGTTCTTATGTTTTTTTAAAACCTTTTTCATTATCTTTTAAAACCCTTCTAGCTTCTCTGATAAGACTCTTTAAATGCATAGTTTCATCTCTAAGCATTTTAATTTTGGTGCTCTCTTTATTTGATTGCATAGTCCTTTCTTATTCTCTCTTTATATAAAGCAAATTTTTATTGAACACCTTAGCCTCATTTAATTAATAATCTATTTCTTTCAGCGATTACTACCATTAATTAACTCTGTTTAGAATAAAAATAAAAAATTTATTAGGTTTTTTAAAATTAAATTCTAATATGATTAATATATGTACCTGTTGGAACTAAATTCTTAATCCTAATTTGCATACATTGCTATTTATTTCGTATAAAACTCTAATTATTATTTAGCATTTTCTAACTCACTTTCATTGACGTCCCCTATATTATAAAGAGAAGAAAAGTATTATTATTATTATTATTATTATTATAGAAAATTAAATAATACTTCTTGTTTATTCTTAATTTAATGCTGGCTTTTCATTCTTTTTTACTTTAAACTTCTCTAAAGTTTCATCTAATTGAATACTCATTTGCCTAAGTTAAGCTAATAACTTATCGTTTTATATCTTTAGTTTGTGCACTTCTTACTATCTATCAATAAAAATATTTCGTAAATCTAAAAGATTTTAGTATATAATATTAATTTCTATTGTAAAATTTTTGAATTTAAACTAAGTCATATTTTATTTAGTTCAATCATTCCACTTTAAACAAATAGTGATCTAATCAAATTCCAGTTCGTTTAAATCAAGATTTTCAAATGATTGATTAATTAATTATTTACTGTTGCTTTAGCCTTTAAGCTACTTAACCACTTGTGCAATTTTCACATTTCTTTTTTATAACTTATGGTGCTGCTGCAGATGCCTACTATTATTGGCTAGGAGATTTTGCTTAATCAGGATTCCTGTAATTAGTATTTAAATTAAAGAAGGCTTTAAAAATTAGTCAGAGCATTAAAACTCTTTCAATTTATTTACAAATATGATTTATATTCGAAGTTATTCATTTCTAATGAATTATCTTAGTGCTGAAAATCTTATTGCTCATTATGATTCTCTTAATATTAGTGGTGATTATTCTAATCCTGTATTACCATGTCATTTTAATCAAGCAAATGCTAATTTTATTAAAGGGAATTATTTCTAGGTGTTGTCTATACTTCTATTTCCTTGTGCTAAACAGATTAATCTTAAGAGTTAGCCATTTCTGTAAATTAATTTTAAAATTTTTGTATCTTTTATGTTTAAGTTGTTATTGTTTGTATATTATATTAGGTGCTGATATTTTTTAATTAATGCTTTGTTTCCACTATTAATTAATAAAATTTGCAAATTTGATCAAATCAATATTTTTATTATTTTTCTTATAATGAACTTGCTTTATAACTCCTACAGTTTTACATATTTCAAGCATAGCAAATAAGGTCTTCTTATTTTTAATAGTTCATTAAAACAGTACTTTTCAATCCATTTTAAATCCTGTATTTTTAAAAATATAAACTACATATGAATTTAATCTAGCACTTAGAAACATATAATCTTAGCTTATACTTCAAATAAATAAATAGATATTTTTAGTGCATCTTGCTGATCACAAAAAATATTCTATTTAATTTTTTTATACCATAAAGTCAAAAATTATAAGTAATTTTAATCAAACAAACAAACAAACGAATGGATTTCTAAAAAATTTAAAACATAAAATTATTTTCCAAAATTTTTCATAGACTATAGATTTAAACTTATCATTTCATTAAAATATTCTATTTAACTTTTTTATTTTTATCTTTTTAATATTTTTGTCTTAAGGGTTCTTCTCACCATTTTAATCTTTTAACTTTTCTCTACCTTGTCTTATTTATTTTCAACTTATTTTAAATACCCTACATCTTTCTTGTTCTCTTCTTCTTTCTTATTTCTTTCATCTTTTATTTTCTTCATTTATATTGTTTCCTAAGATCTGCTTTTCTCCTTCATCTTTTTTGTTTCCCTTGTCCTTATTTTCTCCTTAATCTTTCTTTTTTCCTTATCCTAATTTTCACCTTCATTTTTCTTGTTACCTTTTTTGTTATTATCTTCATTTAGGATTAAAAAAAACATTTAGTGTAACTTATTTGATAAAACAGCTTTTAGCTTTAAGTTTCTGGTAGTATTTTTTTTTAAAGAATAGTCCTTATTCATACAAAATAAGATTAAAACTATTGTATATCACCAGTGTGTTTTTCCAATCTTTACAATTCTATTTCAACAAAATTAATTTCAGCTTCAGTTTATTGAGAACATTCTTTGACAGGGTTAGACTGTTCATCAACATAGACAAAAGATATTGTAAATAAAGTAATCAAAGCTAAGCAAGTAATTTTCATATTTTTCAACTATTTTTTTAGATTTATTTATAATTTTTTTTTTTTAATTGATTAAACCATGAAACAATTTAAAAATACGAAAAATAAATAAATAAAATGAAACTTTAATTAATTGATTGATAAGTATTTTTTTTACTGTTATTTTAAATTTTTACTAATCACTCCATAAAATATAATAAATATTTAGTAAAAAAAATAAAAATATTTCATACTTTTCTATTTTTTATATCAACCAATATTGTATTTAAATGGTTTGTTTTTTACTGAAATTCTAAAAGTTTAATTTTTACTATAAATTTATTTTTAAAGACATGAAATCATTTATATTTTTTAGTAATTTAATAATAATAAAAATAATTAAAACCCAAAATGTTTTTTAAAAAGTTAAAAATTTTAGACATACATATTAAATAATATATTTATTTTTAATAATTAAAACTATCAAATTTATTTAGAGATGATATTTGTTTATTTTTAAAAGTTATTAATTTGATTGGCTAAAAAATAAACAAGAACCACATAAACTTAAAATAAACTTATTTTATTGTTTTTTTACATTAATCTCTTAAAAAAAAAATATTTTTCAATATAATAAAGCAAAAACAGCAAAAGTAAATGCAAAAACTAATGATTTTCCGCCAGAAATAACACCTTGTTCAGCTTTAGTAGTTTTGCCATTTTGATCTTAGTTACACTTTCATCTTTATTGTCACCTTTATTTTCAGATGGAGCGAATTTATCAAAGCATTTAACAATATTAGATAAAGCCGTTTTGAGCTCTGAGTTTTCGGTAGTACATTAATTTTTAATGCATTGCCCTTTTTCATAAGTAGAATTAGTTTTATTACAACCAAAAATACATTGAGATACTGGAGAAATTTCTTTTTAACAGGCTTTATCTTCCTCATTTCTACAAACTATTATAGCATTAGGTTGCGTGCGATACACATTTCATAAGCTCTTTTTATTAATCAGCATAGACAACAGACATTCCAAGTAAAGCAATTAAAGCAACGCAAATTATTCTCATATTTTTCAACTGTTTTTTTTTAGATTTTAATTTTATTTTTTTATTTTAATTGATTTAACATATAATATTCGGTAAATACTAATGGTGATTTAAAGTATTTAAGGAATATGAAACTTTAATTAATTGAGTGAAAAATAGTAATATTTTTGGTATTGTTATATAAAACTTTAGCTAGAACATAATAACTCGAAAGATAGATAAATTAAAATATACAAAATTAACTTAAGATATAATAAAATTAGAACTAATATATTGAATAAATTATAGATAGAACTAAAATAAAGGCATATATATATTTCAGTTATTTTGAATTTAATACCAACTAGATTTAATTAATATTAGTTATTATCAGATATATTAATTAATAATTTAATTACTGTAAACACCTCATAATTAAAAATTAAATATGTTTTCTATTGTATAAATAAAGTTAATTAATTAACACCCAATATTGAGGAAAAAGGTTTTTTTTTTTAGTGTTAATTAATGAGAAACGACAGTATATTTATTTATTATAGATTTATAAAATTTTAATTATTAAGAAATAGTTATTATTCCTGAAACTAAATACATTTAATCTAGATGAATGATGAATGGAAGTATTCTAATTATTTTGCATACCTTAATAATTTATAGCTCTCTTAAGCTTAATATAATTAAAAGCTTATTTTAATAAATATGAAACAAGATCGCATCTACTTTATTTTTAAACATGTAGTTAATACTTCATCCTTCATAAACGACCAAATTTAAGCAGATGTTATTTATTTATTACATTTACTAAATAATCAAGGCATATTATTTTGAAATTTAGAACTTACTTATCTAAAATAAACTAATTAAAAAAAAAGAACTTGAATTGATATACCCTCATTTTTATATATTTTATAAAAATCGCTATTTATTTAGTAAATTACTAGTAATTATATTAATAAAATAAAGCAAATTACAAAAATTAGAGATAGCTTAACTTAATTTAATGGCATTTTAAGGGTTAAAAATCTATACACACACTATTTAAAACTTAATATTACTGATTTTAATAGAGTTTATTTAATATTTATTTATTTATTTCAGATTGATTAATACTTTTTCTCATCTATAATTATTAGTATTCAAAATAATTTTTTTATTTATTTAATAAAGCCATTTTCAAATAAAAAATAATTACAGTCATTTACACCTATTGTATGTATGTTTACAAGTAAATTTTATTTAAATATATAAATTAAAATATTTCTCAATTTAATAAAGCTAAATTAGATAAGGTGAGAGCAAAAACTAGTGAGTTTCCACTAGAAATAACACTTTGTTCAGATTTAAGAGTCTTACCATTTTGATATTTTGAGCAATTATCTCTCTTTTCGTCTTTTTGGCCTTCTTCAACCTTGCATTTTTTGTTTTCTTCATTCCTTTTGATACCTTCATCTTTCTTTGTTTCTTCTTCATTCTTATTTCCTTCAATTTTCTTTTCTTCTTTATTTTCTTGTTTTCTTCGTTTTTATTTAAACCTTCATCTTTCATTTCTCCTTCATCCTTATTTTCGCCTTCACCTTTATTGTCGCCTTCATTTTTATTATCTTCAGTGGGAGGGAATTTCAAGAAACATTTAATGTAGTTTGATAAAGCAGTTTTGATCTTTTAGTTTTTGGTAGTATACTTTTCTTTATAGCATTTTTTTACTGTTATTTTATAATTTATCAATCTCTTACTTACTATTATGTAATATCTTGTAAGTAAAATAAAATTCGATGAAATTAATTAATTGAAAATAAATAGAACGGGATAAATTTTAGTTATAGTTAATTAAATTTGCCTATTTTAATTATAATATCAAAGTTTATAAATTAATAATAAAAACTTTTTTAAGTTTTTACAAGAATATTTAATTATAATATATTATTTATTTACTTGTTTATTTAATGTTCCTAATGATACAGTTTATGTAAAATATAAAAATCGAGTGCATAATTTGTTTGTATAAGATGAAATTTTGACTTGATATATTTCTAAATTACTCTAAAAATATAAATACTATTAAATTTATATGAGCACATATTATTGGTTGAAATTTTATTTAAAATTAAATTATTTTTTATTTCAATTTATTTTATGATTAAATTATTAACACTCATAATGCATATGCAATGAAATAATATTATATTAAATATTATTTAACTTATGTTTTGAAAAAAGGTTATTTTTTTAAAAGTTTTTTTATTTTATGATGAAGATAAATTATCATTTTTAATGGATAAAATTAATTAAAAATGCTTAATTTACTTTATAGTACGATAGAATATGTATTCATACCTAAAAAAAATAATTAAAAATAGTTGATCATTTTGAATACAAAGCTTAAAATATTATTACTTTTTTAATTATTTTGATAATTTAAAATAAATGAAAAGTTTGCTATTTTTAAAAGACAGTGCAATTATATATATATATATATATTCTCTATCCATAATAAATTACTTCTTATAAAAAAATTTGATTAAAGTATTAATTAATATGGTATTTTTTTAATCTTATTAATTTCTTAATAATATATAATTAAAAAAATTTTGAAATCAAAAATTATAAGCAAGCTATTAATATATAATAACTTTTATTACAATAAATCCAGCCAGATGCTTTTATCTTTTTTAATGAATTTCTAGTTTAAGAAACAAATAAATATATTTGGATCTATTAGGTCCAATAATTTTAATTTGTATCATTTAATGTTAATTATCTGTAAATATATTGATTTACAGTAAATATCTTTAATTTAATTCATATAAAATAGTTACTATTACCAAAAATTTTCTATTTTAATTTTTGTAATTTATTATGTATAATTATTATTAAAATAAGTTATTTAATTTTAGAACATTTTAGATAATTTAATTATCAGCAAATTAGCAAGCATTAGTTAGTACTTAATAATATATTTAAGCTATTTTTAAACTCAATTTTAGTGATAAAAAAATAAATGAAAATATATATTTATTTTTAATTTTTTTAAAAATTCAATAAAATATTTTTTAAATTTAAAAATTCTAAACTATCATTTCATTAAAAAAATCTTTTAAATTATAACTTTCAGTAAATACATTTTTAATTAATTTTATAAATTATTTTTATGTTAATTTTGTTTTTCTAAAATGAATTTTTTCTTCAAAAAAATCTTATAACTAATATAAATTTCTAAAATAATAATAAAGATCATAATCGCCGTATTCTTTTTACAAATAATCAATTAAGAATAGTTAATAAATAAATTTTTTAGAATAACAATAATTTTATTTATAATCATAATGATTATTTTTTAATGAGTTTAATTCAATGATTATATAATCATGTTATAATAATTCATACAAGTCTTACTATAACCTATATAATATCTTTAAGATATATTTAATAAATTATTTTAAATAAATATTAGTTATTAATTTGATTGGCTAAAAAATTAACTAACAAAAACCACATAAACTTAAAAAAACTCAATGTATAGTTTACTTTTTTAAATTAATCTCTAAAAAAAAATATTTTTCAATTTAATAAAGCAAAAACAGTTAAAGTGAGTGCAAAAACTAATGAGTTTCCGCCAGAAATAGCACCTTGTTCAGCTTTAGCTGTTTTGCCATTTTGATCTTTTTGATCCTAAGAGCTATTATCTCCCTTTTAGTCTTTTTGGTCGTCCTTATTTGCACCTTCATCTTTATTTCCAGTGGGAGAGAATTTAGAGTAGCATTTAATTAAATCAGATAAACCAGTTTTGAACTCTTATTTGTCGGAAGTACATTTTTGATTAACGCATTGCCCTTATTCAAAATATTAAGTAGGAAAAGTAGTATGGCAACCAGTAAAACATTCTGAGATTTCATTAAATTTATTATTACAGGCTGTATCTTAATTATCTGTACACCTCATTTAAGCTATAGATTTCCCTACACACTAAATAAACTCATTATCTTAAGCATTGACAGCAGATATTGCAAGTAAAGCAATTAAAGCAACACAAATAATTCTCATATTTTTCAACTGTTTTTTTTAGTTTTTATTTTAATATTTTTATTTTAATTGATTTAATTATACAATATTTGGTAAATACTAACGATAATTTAAAGTATTTAAGGAGAGTGAAACTTTATTTAATTAATTGAGTGAAAAATAGTAATATTTTTGGTATTGTTATATAAAACTTTAGCATTCGCTGACTGACTAGAACATAATACCTCGAAATATAGATAAATAAAAATATACAAAATTAACTTAAGATATAATAAAATTAGAACTAATATATTGAGAAAATTTATTAATTGATCAAATCTAGATAGAACTAAAATAAAGGCATATATATATATATATTTCAGTTATTTTGAATTTAATACGAACTATATTTAATTAATATTAGTTATTATCAGATATATTAATTCATAACTTAATTACTGTAAACACCCCCATATTTAAAAAATTAAGTATGTTTTCTATTGTATAATTAGAGTTAAATAATATGGAAAATGATAAATCTTGAATAAGAAATTTGGGTTGACATTGCTTAATATTTAAGGATATATATATATATATATATATATTATAGATTTATAAAATTTTAATTATTAAGAAATAGTTATTATTCCTGAAATTAAATACATTTAATCTAGATGAATGATTAATGGAAGTATTCTAATTATTTCGCATACCTTAAAAATTTATAGCTCTCTTAAGCTTAATATAATTAAAAGTTTATTTTAATATATATGAAACAAGATCGCATCTACTTTATTTTTAAACATGTAGTTAATATACTCCATCCTTCATTAATGACCAAATTTAAGAAAATGCTATTTATTACATTTACTTAATAATCAAGGCATATTATCTTTGAAATTTAGTATCTAAATTAAACTAATTAAAAAAAAAGAACTTGAATTGATAAACCTTCAATTTGATATATTTTATAAAAACTGCTATTTATTTAGTAAAGTACTAGTAATTATATTAATAAAATATAGCAAAGTACAAAAATAGAAAAAGCTTAACTTATTTAATGACTTTCCTTCACCCTTTTTTTCACCTTCATCTGTCTTGTTTCCTTCATCTTTAGTTTCTCACTCATCTTTCTTGTTTCATTCATCCTTCTTTTCTCCTTCATCTTTCTTGTTTTCGTCGTCCTTATTAACACTTTCATCTTTCTTTTCTCCTTAATCCTTGTTTTCACCTTCACCTTTATTGTCGCCTTCATTTTTGTTATCATCAGTGGATCAGTGGGAGGGAATTTTAAGAAAAATTTAATGTAGTTTGATAAAGTAGTTTTGAGCTTTTAGTTTTTGGTTTCTTGATAGCATTTTTTTACTGTTATTTTATAATTTATCAACCTCTAATTTACTATTACGTAACATTTTGTAAGTAAAATAAAATTGGATGAATTAAAAAATTAAAAATAAATAAAACGGGATAAATTTTAGTTATAGTTAAGTAAATATCTATCTATTTTAATGAATATTTAATTTAAATATATTATTTATTTACTTGTTTATTCATAGTCTCTAATGATACAGTTTATATAAAATATAAAAAGTGAGCGCATAATTTGTTTGTAAAAGATGAAATTTTGATTAGAAATATTTCTAAATTACTCTAAAAATATAAATACTATTAAATTTTTAAGAGCACATATTTTTTTGAGGTTTTATTTAAAAAAATAAATTAATTTTTATTTCAATTTATTTATTTTGTGAATAAATTATTAACACTCATAATGCATATGCAATGAAATAATACTATATTAAATTTTATTTAACTTATGTTTTGGAAAAAGGTTATTTTTTTAAAAGTTTTTTTATTTTATGATGAAGATAAATTATCATTTTTAATGGATAAAATTAATTAAAAATGCTTAAATTTACTTTATAGTACCATAGAATATGTATTCATACCTAAAGAAATAATTAAAAATAAAACTTGGTATTTTTAAAAGACAGTGCAATTATATATTCTCTATCCATGATAAATTACTTCTTATAAAAAATTTGATTAAAGTATTAATTAATATGTTATTTGTTTAATATTATTAATTTCTTAATAATATTAAATCAAAAAAATTTTGTAAATCAAAAATAATAAGCAAGCAATTAATATACAAATAACTTTTATTCCTATAAATCCAGCCAGATACTTTTATCTTTGTTAATAAATTTCTAGTTTAAGAAACAAATAAATATATTTGGATTTATTTGGTTGGATAATTGTAATTTGTATCATTTAATGTTAATTATGTGTAAATATATTGATTTACAGTAAATATCTATAATTTAATTCATATAAAATAGTTACTATTACCAAAACTTTTTTATTTTAATTTTAGTAATTTATTATGTATAATGAATGATTATTAAAATAAGTTATTTAATTTTAGAACAATTTAGATAATTTAATTATCAGCAAGTTATCAAGTATTAGTTATTACCTAATAATATATTTAAGCTATCATTAAATTAAATTTTAATGATAAAAAATAAAGGAAAATATAAAATTCTTTTTAATTCTTTTAAAAAATTAATAAAATATTTTTTTAAATTTAAATATTCTAAAATAATTTTTTTTATTTTTGTTTGATTATTTTTTACTGAAACATCTTAATTAATTATTATCAAATTTTATCAGAAGTAAATATTGTTTTGTTACAATTGCTAAGTAATCTATGCATATTTTTTAATAAATATTTATTCCAAGTTAGTTTCAAAAATTAAAATTTCAATTAGTTATATTTAATAAAAGTGATTGAGTGTTAGTAAAATACTTGTAAAAATATCAAGATAAATTAAGATTCACATATTATACAATTTTCTTTTTATATGAAATTTAAGTAGTTTTTACAATTTAAAAGTAATCAATTGCAGCTGCTGTATTCTCTAATAAAATTTAATTATATTTTTTTTAATTATTAATCAAAACAATTGCTTTAAAAGGATTTTTGCTTTAAATATGCTTGCTGAAGAGAAATTAAACATAAAATATTTTGAAATTTAATATAAATAAGTTTAAATAAAAGAGTCAGTCGTTTTTTTTTTTACGCAAATATATAGAATGCTGCTGCTAAAATATGTTACTTAATTAATTAAACAACTCTTTTTATTGCAAAACAATTAACAACTTATAAATTAATTTATATACTCTCTATTATAATATCTCTTTGATTTTATGAAATTTCCATATTGTGAAAACGTAAGTGTTCAATAGAGAATATGGTAATTTTTATAAAATAAAATTTTATACATAAGATTTAAATGTGGATTATATTAAAATTTAAATTATTAAAGGAGATTATAAAAATAATATTTAATAAACATGTAAACTAAAAATCACATACCTACTCACGAAAAAAAATTTTCAAGGTTAGCTATATCCATTTGCATACTAAATTATTATTACTAGTGAGGAATTAATAAATATTATGATATATTTAAACATTAATCTAGCTATTTATCAACTTTAATAAAACAATTCTGCTATTTTTTTTATTTATTTAAAAACCTTAAAATTCTAACAAGTCTTATGTATGTATACATTTTGAATTTACAATAATATACATATAAAATATTTCTCAATTTAATAAAGCTAAAATAGTTAAAGTGACTGCAAAAACTAAAGAGTTTCCACCAGAAATAACACTTTATTCAGCTTTGGTAGGTTTACCATTTTGGTCTTTTTAATCTTTTTGATCATTAGAGTTTTTATCTCCCTTTTAGCCTTATTGACCTTCTTCGACCTTGTCTTTTTTGTTTTCCTCATCTTTTTTGATACCTTCATCTTTCTTTTCGCCTTCATCTTTCTTGTTTCCTTCCTCCTTTTTTTCTCCTTCATCTTTTTTGTTTCCTTCTTCCTTCTTTTCTCCTTCATCTTTCTTTTCACCTTCGTCTTTTTTGTTTCCTTCATCCTTCTTTTCTCCCTCATCTTTATTTTCTCCTTCGTCTTTCTTTTCTCCCTCATCTTTCTTTTCTCCTTCGTCTTTCTTATTTCCTTCATCCTTATTTTCTCCTTCATCTTTCTTGTTTCCTTCATTCTTATTTTCTCCTTCATCCTTCTTTTCTCCTTCATCTTTCTTGTTTTCTTCGTCCTTATTTACACCTTCATCTTTCTTTTCTCCTTCATCCTTATTTTCACCTTCACCTTTATTGTCGCCTTCATTTTTATTATCTTCAGTGGGAGGGAATTTAAGGAAACATTTAATGTAATTTGATAAAGCAGTTTTGAGCTTTGAGTTTTTGGTAGTACACTTTTTTTAAAAGCATAACCCTATTTCATACATAGTTTAATCGAAGGAACCGTTGTCACAAGCATCTATGCATGATTCCAATCTTTCCTTTTCTTTTTCACAGGCCTCATCTTCATCTTCACCACAATTCATTTGGGCATCAGTAGAAGTAGCGCATTCCTTGATAGCATCAATATCTTCATCAGCATAGACAACAGATATTGCAAGTAAAGCAATTAAAGCTAAGCATATAATTCTCATATTTTTCAACTATTTTTTTAGATTTGATTTTAATATTTTTATTTTAATTGAATTAATTAATTATACAAAATTTGGTAAATACTTAAGATTATTTAAAGTGTTTAATGAAAATGAAACTATATTTGTGATCATAATTTATTTATACTGTTATTTTAAAATTTAGCAATTAATGACTGACTGACTCACTATAACCATAACGTAATATCTTGAAGTAAAATTAAATTAGATAAACTTAATTAGCAATAAATAAATAAATAAATAAATAAGTTGGGAGAAATTTTTAGTTATAGTTAATTAAATTTATCTATTTTAATGTATCAAGCAAATTTAATTAGTTAAAAGTAATTTGTTATATATAGTTAGAAAATAAAATGAAAAAGTATAAATTGTTTATTTCAAATTATTTAACAATTAAAAGAATTATTTTAAAATATAAAAAATATTAAAACAAAATATCAAAAATATTAAAAATTTATAAATGAATTAATAAGCAATTATAATTGATTAAATCCAAATAGAACTAAAACATAGATTAATTATAAGTTAATTTAAATTTGATACTAACTAGACTTGGTATTAGATTTTATTAGAAATATCTATCTAGCTAGCATTTACAGAATTACCGTAAATACTTCAACATTAAAAATGAATTAGCTCGTTTGTTATTTAATTTTTACTAATTAAAATATTATTTTGCTAATAAAAGAATAATTTTCACATAAAATTTAAAATTAATATTTTAAGATATATATTTATTTATTATAGATTTATAAAATTTTGATTATTGATAAATAATTAGTATTCATTCGCGAAATTAAATACATTTAATCTAGAAGAATGATGAATGGAAGTATTCTAATTATTTCGCATACCTTAGCTCTCTTAAGCTTAATATAATTAAAAGCTTATTATATTAAATATGAAACAAGAGTTGATCGAATTCAGCAAATAATTTTGAATATTTTTCATAAAATATTTTTGTTTTGAAATAAAATTGTACAATTAATACAAGATTCTCGGATCCACTTTACTTTTAAACATGAAGTTAATGCTTCATCCTCCATAAATGACCAAATTTAAGCAGATGCTATTTATTACATTTACTAAATAATCAAGGCATATTATCTTAGAAATTTAGAACTAAATTATCTAAAATAAACTAATTACAAAAAATAAGAACTTGGATAGATAAACCATCAATTTGATATATTTTATAAAAATCGCTATTTATTTAGTAAATTACTAATAATTATATTAATAAAATAAAGCAAAGTACAAAAAATAGAGATAGCTTAACTTAATTTAATGACATTTTAAGGGTTAAAAATTTAAAAAGATACACACATCATTAAAAGCAAGGATTGCTATTATTTAAAAATAGATTACAAAATTATTTGCTAAATATCTTCATTTAATTGCATATTATTTAATATACAGTTGGCTAAATTAAAAAAAAGGAATATGATAAAATTCAGGATAGGATGTTTAATTATTAATACCTTAATTTAATAATACTGATTTTAATAGAGTTTATTTAATATTTATTTATTTCAGATGATTAATACTTTTTCTCTCTATAATTTATTAGTATTCAAAAATAATTTTTTTATTTATTTAATAAAGCCTTTTTCAAATAAAAAATAATTATAGTCATTCACACATATTTTATGTATGTTTACAAGTAAATTTTATTTAAATATATAAATTAAAATATTTCTCAATTTAATAAAGCTAAGATAGTTAATGTGAGTGCAAAAACTAATGAATTTCCACCAGAAATAACACTTTATTCAGCTTTAACAATCTTGCCATTTTGATCTTTTTGATCTTTTGAGCCATTATCTCCCTTTTGGTCTTTTTGGCCTTATTCAACATTGTCTTTTTTGTTTTCTTCATCTTTTTTGATACCTTCATCTTTCTTTGTTTCTTCTTCATTCTTGTTTCCTTCATCCTTCTTCTCTCCTTCATCTTTCTTTTCTCCTTCTCCATTCTTGTTTTCTTCATCCTTCTTTTCACCTTCATCTTTCTTGTTTCCTTCGTCTTTCTTTTCTCCTTCTTCTTTATTGTTTCCTTCATCCTTCACATCACCTTCGTCTTTCTTGTTTCCTTCATCCTTCTTTTCACCTTCATCTTTCTTGTTTCCTTCATCTTTATTTTCTTCCTCATCTTTCTTGTTTCCTTCTTCCTTCTTTTCTCCTTCATCCTTATTTTCACCTTCATCTTTCTTGTTTCCTTCATCCTTATTTTCACCTTCACCTTTATTGTCGCCTTCATTTTTATTATCTTCAGTGGGAGGGAATTTAAGGAAACATTTAATGTAATTTGATAAAGCAGTTTTGAGCTTTAAGTTTTTGGTAGTACACTTTTTTTAAAAGCATAACCCTTATTCATAAAAAGTTTAATCGAAGGAACCGTTGTCGCAACCATCTATGCATGATTCCAATCTTTCCTTTTCTTTTTCACAGACCTCATCTTCATCTTCACCACAATTCATTTGGGCATCAGTAGAAGTAGCGCATTCCTTGACTGCATCAGATTCTTCATCAGCATAGACAACAGATATTGCAAGTAAAGCAATTAAAGCTAAGCATATAATTCTCATATTTTTCAACTGTTTTTTTAGATTTAATTTTAATTATTTTATTTTGATTGATTTAATTATAAAATATTTGATAATTACTAATGATAATTTAAAGTATTTAAGGGAAATGAAACTTTAATTAATTAATTAAAAAATTCTAATATTTTTGATATTGTTATATAAACCTTAAGCATCCACTGACTATAACATAATATCTCGAAAGATAGATAAATAAAAATAGACGAAATTAACTTAAGATATAAATAAAATTAGAACTAATAATATAATTTAAATGCAGTAATTTCAATATTTATGATTTGTTCTAATTTAAATAGAACTAAAATAAAGGCATGTATTTCAGTTATTTTGAATTAAATACAAACTAGACTTAATATTATTTATTATAAGACATATTAATTCTTTACTTAATTACTGTAAATATTTCATAATAAAAAATTAAATATTGTGTAAATATATTTTTTTTTTATAGTTTTCAAAATGTTTTTAATAAGGTAGGAAAAAAATAGAAGCTTTTTTAATTACATATTTTGAAAAATATGCAAAAATATGTAAAATAGAAAAACATAAGCATTAAAGATGTGTATTTATTTTTTTTAGTTTAGTCAAGAATTTTTATTTTAATAAATGGCCTGTTAGTTAGTTAGTTAGTTAATTAGTTTAAGTCGGCTGATTATTAGTATTAAATATTATTATTGATTATAATCTTTTTTATTAACAAGTACTATTACTAGTTTTCTCATATTAATTAATCATATTTAATATCAATAAAAAAGCTCTATATTTTTTAATTAATTTCAAGTAGCCAATTATGAAAAAAATACTTTAAATTGTTAGTCCTTAGTAAATTTATTTAAATCAACTTATTCATTTTTAAAATTAAATATAAATGAGAACAAATATATGAAAATAATTTAAATTATTCACGAATCGCAATAAAATTAAATTGATGCATTTAATTATTTTAATTTAAATTAATTAAATTTGTTTGTTTGTTAAGTTTTCAATATTCAATATTACATTTATCTGTTCTACATTCTAGCATATTTTTATCTGTTTTAAATTAATTTTTTCCAAAATTTAATAATTCATCCTTCATAAATGACCAAATTTAATCAGATATATTACATTTACTAAATAATTAAGGTGTATTTATTTTTTTAGAAATTTAGAACTTATCTAAAATAAAGTAATTACAAAAAAATAAACTTGATAAACCTTCAATTTAATATATTTTATAAAAAGCGCTATTTATTTATTTAGTAAAGTAATACTAATAATATTAATAAAAATAAAGCAAAGTACAAAAAATAGAGGTAGCTAAATTTAATTTAATGACATTGACAGAAAATTTTAAGAGTTAGAAATTTAAAAAGATACACACACCATTTAAAACAAACATTGCTATTATTTAAAAATAGATTACAAAATTATTTGCTAAATAGCATATTATTTAATATACAGTTGGTAAATTTAAAAAAATGAATAAGATAAAAATATTAATACCATAATTTAATAATACTAATTTTAATAGTTTAATATTTATTTATATAAGATTCATTAATACTTTATCTCTATTAAATTTTTGAATGTAGAATTTATCAGTATTCAAAATAATTATAATCAGTCACACACATATTGTATGTATGTTTACAAGTACATTTTATTTAAATTATTAACAAATTAAAATATTTCTCAATTTAATAGAGCTAAGATAGTTAAGGTGAGTGCAAAAACTAATGAGTTTCCACCAGAAATAACACTTTGTTCAGCTTTAACAGTCTTGCCATTTTGATCTTTTTGATCTTTTGAGCCATTATCTCCCTTTTGGTCTTTTTGGCCTTATTCAACATTGTCTTTTTTGTTTTCTTCATCTTTTTTGATACCTTCATCTTTCTTTGTTTCTTCTTCATTCTTGTTTCCTTCATCCTTCTTCTCTCCTTCGTCTTTCTTTTCTCCTTCTCCATTCTTATTATCTTCATCCTTCTTTTCACCTTCATCTTTCTTGTTTCCTTCTTCTTTCTTTTCTCCTTCGTCTTTCTTTTCTCCTTCGTCTTTCTTTTCTCCCTCATCTTTCTTGTTTTCTTCATCTTTCTTTTCTCCTTCATCTTTCTTGTTTCCTTCATCCTTCTTTTCTCCTTCATCTTTCTTGTTTTCTTCGTCCTTATTTACACCTTCATCTTTCTTTTCTCCTTCATCCTTATTTTCACCTTCATCTTTCTTTTCTCCTTCATCCTTATTTTCACCTTCACCTTTATTGTCGCCTTCATTTTTATTATCTTCAGTGGGAGGGAATTTAAGGAAACATTTAATGTAATTTGATAAAGCAGTTTTGAGCTTTGAGTTTTTGGTAGTACACTTTTTTTAAAAGCATAACCCTTATTCATACATAGTTTAATCGAAGGAACCGTTGTCGCAACCATCTATGCATGATTCCAATCTTTCCTTTTCTTTTTCACAGGCCTCATCTTCATCTTCACCACAATTCATTTGGGCATCAGTAGAAGTAGCGCATTCCTTGATAGCATCAATATCTTCATCAGCATAGACAACAGATATTGCAAGTAAAGCAATTAAAGCTAAGCATATAATTCTCATATTTTTCAACTGTTTTTTTAGATTTAATTTTAATTATTTTATTTTGATTGATTTAATTATAAAATATTTGATAATTACTAATGATAATTTAAAGTATTTAAGGGAAATGAAACTTTTGTTAATTTGCTAAGAAATCTTAATTTTTTTTACTGTTATTTTATAATTTATCAATCTCTTACTTACTATTACGTAATATCTTGTAAGTAAAATTAAAGTAGATGATATTAAATCATAAAAATAAATAAAACGGGATAAATTTTTAGTTATAGTTAATAAAATTTATCTATTTTAATGTATATAATAAAGTTAATAAATTAAAAGTAACTTTTTTATATTTGTACATGAATATTTAATTTAAATATATTATTTATTTACTTGTTCATTAATAGTTTCTAATGATACAGTTTATATAAAATATAAAAAGTGAGTGCATTATTTATTTGTATAAGATGAAATTTTGATTAGATATATTCTAAATTACTCTAAAAATATAAATACTATTAAATTTTTAAGAGCACTTATTGTTGGTTGAGGTTTTATTTCAATTTATTTATTTCATGATTAAACTATTAACACTCATAATGCATATGCAATGAAATAATATTATAAACTTATGTTTTGAAAAAAGTTTATTTTTTTAAAAGATTTTTTACTATATGATGAAGATAAATTATCATTTTTAATGAATAAAATTAATTAAAAATGCTTGAATTTACTTGATAGTACCACATAATATTTACTCATACCTAAAAAAATAATTAAAAATAATTGATCATTTTGAATACAAAGCTTAAAATATTATTACTATATAAATAATTTTGATAATTTAAAATGAAAAGCTTGCTGATTTTAAAAAACAGTGAAATTAAAAAAAAAAATTTCTATATCCATAATAAGTTACTTCTTATAAAAAAATTTGTTTAAAGTATTAATTAATATGGTATTTTTTCAATCTTATTAATTTCTTAATAATATATAATCAAAAAAATTTTGTAAATCAAAAATGAAATGCAAGAAATAAAATATAATAACTTTTATTTGCCAGATACTTTTATCTTTTTTAATGAATTATTAGTTTAAGAAACAAATAAATATATTTGGATCTATTGGGTTGGATAACTTTAATTTGTATCATTTAATTTTAATTATGTGTAAATATATTGATTTACAGTAAATATCTATAATTTAATTCATATAAAATCATTACTATTACCAAAACTTTTTTATTTTAATCTTAGTAATTTATTATGTATAATGAATGATTATTAAAATAAGTTATTTAATTTTAGAACAATTTAGATAATTTAATTATCAGTAAGTTAGCAAGTATTAGTTAGTACCTAATAATATATTTAAGCTATCATTAAATTCAATTTTAGTGATTAAAAATAAAGGAAAATATAAAATTCTTTTTAATTCTTTTAAAAAATTAATAAAATATTTTTTTAAATTTAAATATTCTAAAATAATTTTTATATTTTAGTCCTTTTAGAATATATTTATTTGTATGATTATTTTTTACTGAAATATCTTAATTAATTATTACCAAATTTTATCAGAAGTAAATTTTGTTTTGTTACAATTTCTAAGTAATCAATGCATATTTATTTTTTGATAAATATTTATTCCGAGTTAGTTTGAAAAATTAAAATTTCAATAAGTTATATTTAATAAAGTGATTGAGCGTTAGTAAAATACTTGCAAAAATGTCAAGATAAATTAAGATTCACATATTATACAATTTTCTTTTTAAATGAAATTCAAGTAGTTTTTACAACATAAAGGTAATTAACTGCAGCTGTATTCTTTAATAAAATTTAATATATTTTTTAAAATTATTAATCAAAATTATTGCTTTAAAATGTTTTGATATTGCTTTAAATATGCTATCTGAAGAGAAATTAAACATAAAATATTTTGAAATTTATAATATATAAATTTTTATATAAAAGAGTTAGACTTTTTTTTTTTACACATATATATAGAATGCTGCTGCTAAAATATGTAAGTTACTTATTTAAACAACTCTTTTTATTCAAAAACTATTAACAACTTATAAATTAATATTAACTCTATATTATAATATCTCTTTAATTTTATACTCTATATTATAATATCTCTTTAATTTTATACTCTATATTATAATGTCTCTTTAATTTTATGAAATTTCTATATTGTGAAAGCGTAAGTGCTCAATATTTGGTACTTTTTCTAATATAAATTTTTTTACATAAGATTTAAATGGGATTGTATTAAAATTTAAATTATTAATGGGGATAAAAAAATAATTTTTATTGACATACACGAAACAAATATACAAGGTTAGCTATATCCATTTGCCTACTAAATTATTATTACTAGCAATAAATTAATAAATATCATTGTATATTTAAACATCAATCTAGCCATTTATCAACTTTAACAAAATAATACTTTTTTTAATTTATTTAAAAACCTTAAAATTCTCACAAGTCTTATGTATGTATATATATAGTATTTACAATAATTTACAGATAAAATATTTCTCAATTTAATAAAGCTAAAATAGTTAAAGTGACTGCAAAAACTAAAGAGTTTCCACCAGAAATAACACTTTATTCAGCTTTGGTAGGTTTACCATTTTGGTCTTTTTAATCTTTTTGATCATTAGAGTTTTTATCTCCCTTTTAGCCTTATTGACCTTCTTCGACCTTGTCTTTTTTATTTTCCTCATCTTTTTTGATACCTTCATCTTTCTTTTCACCTTCATCTTTCTTGTTTCCTTCCTCGTTTTTTTCTCCTTCATCTTTTTTATTTCCTTCGTCCTTCTTTTCTCCTTCATCTTTCTTTTCACCTTCGTCTTTTTTGTTTCCTTCATCCTTCTTTTCACCTTCGTCTTATTTGTTTCCTTCATCCTTCTTTTCTCCTTCATCTTTCTTGTTTCCTTCATCCTTCTTTTCCCCTTCGTCTTTCTTGTTTCCTTCATCCTTCTTTTCTCCTTCATCTTTCTTGTTTCCTTCATCCTTATTTTCTCCTTCATCCTTCTTTTCTCCTTCATCTTTCTTGTTATCTTCGTCCTTATTTACGCCTTCATCTTTCTTTTCTCCTTCACCCTTATTTTCATCTTCACCTTTATTGTCGCCTTCATTTTTATTATCTTCAGTGGGAGGGAATTTAAGGAAACATTTAATGTAATTTGATAAAGCAGTTTTGAGCTTTGAGTTTTTGGTAGTACACTTTTTTTAAAAGCATAACCCTTATTCATACATAGTTTAATCGAAGGAACCGTTGTCACAAGCATCTATGCATGATTCCAATCTTTCCTTTTCTTTTTCACAGGCCTCATCTTCATCTTCACCACAATTCATTTGGGCATCAGTAGAAGTAGCGCATTCCTTGATAGCATCAATATCTTCATCAGCATAGACAACAGATATTGCAAGTAAAGCAATTAAAGCTAAGCATATAATTCTCATATTTTTCAACTGTTTTTTTAGATTTGATTTTAATATTTTTATTTTAATTGATTTAATTATACAAAATTTGGTAAATACTTAAGATAATTTAAAGTGTTTAATTAAAATGAAACTTAATTTGTGATCATAATTTATTTATGCTGTTATTTTAAAATTTAGTAATTACTGTATGACTGACTCACTATAACTATAACTTTATATCTTGAATGAAAATTAAATTAGATAAACTAAATTAGCAATAAATAAGTTGGGAGAAATTTTTAGTTATAGTTAATTAAATTTATCTATTTTAATGTATCAAGTAAATTTAATTAGTTAAAAGTAACTTGTTATATATGATTCGAAAATAAAATGAAAAAGTATAAATTGTTTATTTCAAATTATTTAACAATTAAAAGAATTATTTTAAAATATAAAAAATGTTAAAACAAAATATCAAAAATATTTAAAATTTATAAAAGAATTAATAAGCAATTTTGAAGCAATTATAATTGATTAAATCCAAATAGAACTAAAACATAGATTAATTATAAGTTAATTTAAATTTGATACTAACTAGACTTGATATTAGATTTTATTAGAAATATCTTTCTAGCTAGCATTTACAGAACTACTGTAAATACTTCAATCTTAAAAATTTATTAGCTCGTTTATTATTTAATTTATATTTTAAAAAAAGATAAATACTCTGCATATGTATTCTATTTGTATGTAGCCTTGAAAAAGGCAGTACCCTAGGGTACTATACATATATATAAATAATCAATATTTGCTTACAGTTATTTTTATATTGTTTTATAAACAATTTGAAAGTTTAGTTATTTTTTCAATCTATCTATCTATCTAATAAAAATTTTAAAAAATATTTTATTGATATTATTTAGTAATGAGGGCGATATAATAAATTATCTTGAGATAAATCTAGATTTTTATATCTTTTTCTTTTAAGAGGCAAATATTTTTGGATCTATAATGAAAAAATAAATTTGTATCAGTTATTTCTTTATTTCGTAATATTATTTTGATTTACAGGAAATATTCACTCATTTCGCATGCATTAAATGATAACTTTTAATACAAATAATTTACTTTAATCTTCCTTCGTAATTTATTGGATTTTAATTAAAAAAAGTTATTTAATTTTTGAGTAATTAAGACTAGTTAGAAAGTAAGTAAATAAGTTAATAGTAATTGAATATTAATACTTGATAATTTTTGAAATATTAAATTCAATCAATAGTAAATTATATAAATAAATATTCTTAATTTATTGAAAATATCTAGGAAATTCATAAAATAAAATTGAATTAAAATCATTATAATTTCAATATTTTATTAGGAAATTAATTATTTATTTTAGTCTATTTTAACTTAACTTATTTTCAATTTTACCAAAAAAACCAAATTTATCATTAATTATTTTTAATATAAGAGGATTTATCTGTTACAATTTTTAATTGTTCTACAAATATTTTTAGATATTTTATTCACTCTTACTTAAATTATAAAAGACTATTTAAATATAAAGTATAATAATTTCAAAATATGAAGTTTCAATTAATTATTTTTAATTAGAGAGCTTGAAAGTTAGTAAATTACTAGTAATTGTATTAAAGATAAACTGAGAATTTTAAAGCTTATTTAATTTGTACGAATTCAGTATGATATTTAGCTATAAAAAAAAAGTTACAAGAAAATGCTCATTTAAATTAGATTAAGAAATTATTTATTATTTTTAAGTGCATTTGATTGATAAAAAATAAACAAACAAAGAAAATAGAAAAAAATAAAATAATTTTAAACTAAAAGAATTAATAAATATTTTTAAATCTTTTTTGTTTAAGATAGATGTATTCATTGCTAATATTTTCAAGTAATAATAAATATATCCTAAAAAAACAAAAGATATAAATAAATACAGTCAATCCTCATTAATTAAGGTCTATCCCTCCCCTCTTCTAAATTTTATGCTTGTTTAATTATCAGAGAATAGCAATACTAAATTATTATTACTAGAGATAAATTAATAAATTTTATGGTATATTTAAACATTAATCTAGCCATTTATCAACTATAATAAAATAATACTTTTTTTAATTTATTTAAAAACCTTAAAATTCTAACAAGTCTTATGTATGTATACATTTTGAATTTAAAATAATATACAGATAAAATATTTCTCAATTTATTAAAGCTAAAATAGTTAAAGTGACTGCAAAAACTAAAGAGTTTCCACCAGAAATAACACTTTATTCAGCTTTGGTAGGTTTACCATTTTGGTCTTTTTAATCTTTTTGATCATTAGAGTTTTTATCTCCCTTTTAGCCTTATTGACCTTCTTCCACCTTGTCTTTTTTGTTTTCCTCATCTTTTTTGATACCTTCATCTTTCTTAGTATCTTCATCTTTCTTTTCACCTTCATCTTTCTTGTTTCCTTCCTCCTTTTTTTCTCCTTCGTCTTTTTTGTTTCCTTCGTCCTTCTTTTCTCCTTCATCTTTCTTTTCACCTTCGTCTTTTTTGTTTCCTTCATCTTTCTTTTCTCCTTCGTCTTTCTTGTTTCCTTCATCCTTCTTTTCTCCTTCATCTTTCTTGTTTTCTTCGTCCTTATTTACACCTTCATCTTTTTTTTCTCCTTCACCCTTATTTTCATCTTCACCTTTCTTGTCATCTTCATTTTTATTATCTTCAGTGGGAGGGAATTTAAGGAAACATTTAATGTAATTTGAGAAAGCAGTTTTGAGCTTTGAGTTTTTGGTAGTACACATTTTTTAACAGCATAACCCTAATTCATAAAAAGTTGAATTACCAGTACCGTCGCAAATATCTATGCATTATTCCAATCTTTCCTTTTCTTTTTCACAGGCCTCATCTTCATCTTCACCACAATTCATTTGGGCATCAGTAGAAGCAGAGCATTTGTTGATAGCATCAATATCTTCATCAGCATAGACAACAGATATTGCAAGTAAAGCAATTAAAGCTAAGCTTATAATTCTCATATTTTTCAACTTTTTATTTTAATTGATTTAATTATACAAAATTTGGTAAATACTTAAGATAATTTAAAGTGTTTAATGAAAATGAAACTATATTTGTGATCATAATTTATTTATGCTGTTATTTTAAAATTTAGCAATTAATGACTGACTGACTAACTATAACCATAACGTAATATCTTGAAGTAAAATTAAATTAGATAAACTTAATTAGCAATAAATAAGTTGGGAGAAATTTTTAGTTATAGTTAATTAAATTTATCTATTTTAATGTATCAAGTAAATTTAATTAGTTAAAAGTAACTTGTTATTATAATTCGAAAATAAAATGAAAAAGTATAAATTGATTATTTCAAATTATTTAACAATTAAAAGAATTATTTTAAAATATAAAAAATATGAAAGCAAAATATCAAAAATATTTAAAATTTATAAAAGAATTAATAAGCAATTTTGAAGCAGTTATAATTGATTAAATCCAAATAGAACTAAAACATAGATTAATTATAAGTTAATTTAAATTTGATACTAACTAGACTTGGTATTAGATTTTATTAGAAATATCTTTCTAGCTAGCATTTACAGAATTACTGTAAATACTTCAATATTAAAAATTTATTAGCTTGTTTGTTATTTAATTTTTATTAATCATAATTATCAGAGAATAGCAATACTAAATTATTATTACTAGAGATAAATTAATAAATTTTATGGTATATTTAAACATTAATCTAGCCATTTATCAACTTTAATAAAATAATACTTTTTTTAATTTATTTAAAAACCTTAAAATTCTAACAAGTCTTATGTATGTTTACATTTTGAATTTACAATAATATACAGATAAAATATTTCTCAATTTAATAAAGCTAAAATAGTTAAAGTGACTGCAAAAACTAAAGAGTTTCCACCAGAAATAACACTTTATTCAGCTTTGGTAGGTTTACCATTTTGGTCTTTTTAATCTTTTTGATCATTAGAGTTTTTATCTCCCTTTTAGCCTTATTGACCTTCTTCGACCTTGTCTTTTTTGTTTTCCTCATCTTTTTTGATACCTTCATCTTTCTTAGTATCTTCATCTTTCTTTTCACCTTCATCTTTCTTGTTTCCTTCCTCCTTTTTTTCTCCTTCGTCTTTTTTGTTTCCTTCGTCCTTCTTTTCTCCTTCATCTTTCTTTTCACCTTCGTCTTTTTTGTTTCCTTCATCCTTCTTTTCTCCTTCGTCTTTCTTGTTTCCTTCATCCTTCTTTTCTCCTTCGTCTTTCTTGTTTCCTTCATCCTTCTTTTCTCCTTCATCTTTCTTGTTTCCTTCATCCTTATTTTCTCCTTCATCCTTCTTTTCTCCTTCATCTTTCTTGTTATCTTCGTCCTTATTTACGCCTTCATCTTTCTTTTCTCCTTCACCCTTATTTTCATCTTCACCTTTATTGTCGCCTTCATTTTTATTATCTTCAGTGGGAGGGAATTTAAGGAAACATTTAATGTAATTTGATAAAGCAGTTTTGAGCTTTGAGTTTTTGGTAGTACACTTTTTTTAAAAGCATAACCCTATTTCATACATAGTTTAATCGAAGGAACCGTTGTCACAAGCATCTATGCATGATTCCAATCTTTCCTTTTCTTTTTCACAGGCCTCATCTTCATCTTCACCACAATTCATTTGGGCATCAGTAGAAGTAGCGCATTCCTTGATAGCATCAATATCTTCATCAGCATAGACAACAGATATTGCAAGTAAAGCAATTAAAGCTAAGCATATAATTCTCATATTTTTCAACTGTTTTTTTAGATTTGATTTTAATATTTTTATTTTAATTGATTTAATTATACAAAATTTGGTAAATACTTAAGATAATTTAAAGTGTTTAATTAAAATGAAACTATATTCGTATATTCGTGATCATAATTTATTTATGCTGTTATTTTAAAATTTAGCAATTAATGACTGACTGACTGACTAACTAACTATAACCATAACGTAATATCTTGATGTAAAATTAAATTAGATAAACTTAATTAGCAATAAATAAATAAATAAATTGGGATAAATTTTTAGTTATAGTTAATTAAATTTATCTATTTTAATGTATCAAGTAAATTTAATTAGTTAAAAGTAACTTGTTATTATAATTCGAAAATAAAATGAAAAAGTATAAATTGTTTATTTCAAATTATTTAACAATTAAAAGAATTATTTTAAAATATAAAAAATATGAAAGCAAAATATCAAAAATATTTAAAATTTATAAAAGAATTAATAAGCAATTTTGAAGCAATTATAATTGATTAAATCCAAATAGAACTAAAACATAGATTAATTATAAGTTAATTTAAATTTGATACTAACTAGACTTGGTATTAGATTTTATTAGAAATATCTTTCTAGCTAGCATTTACAGAATTACTGTAAATACTTCAATATTAAAAATTTATTAGCTTGTTTGTTATTTAATTTTTATTAATCTTAAAGATTTTTAAATAATATCAAAACAAAATTATTTTATTTTTGATTAAAGAGAGCTTTATATTATATAATTTATACATAAAATTACATTTTTTATACTTATTAAAAACCTTATAACTTCAAAATATTTATAAAAATAACTTAAAGATATAAATTATTTTTTAAAATGATGAAATTAATTAAAATTATTTGAATTTTTTAACCAAAGCAAAAACAGTCATTCAAACATAATACTAAAATAGTAAAAATAGTTAATCAAATCGAATGTAGTTTTTAAAAAATAATAAAATAAAAATTATTTTGGAAGTAAAAATAATCAATATTTGCTTACAGTTATTTTTATATTGTTTTATAAACAATTTGAAAGTTTAGTTATTTTTTCAATCTATCTAACTAATAAAAATGTTTTTAAATATTTTATTGATATTATTTAGTAATGAGGGCGATATAATAAATTATCTTGAGATAAATCTAGATTTTTATATCTTTTTCTTTTTGTTTGATGTTTTTATTTTAAGAGGCAAATATTTTTGGATCTATTATGAAAAAATAAATTTGTATCAGTTATTTCTTTATTTTGTAATATTATTTTGGTTTACAGTAAATATTCACTCATTTCGCATGCATTAAATGATTAATTTTAATACAAATAATTTACTTTAATCTTCATTCGTAATTTATTGGATTTTAATTAAAAAAAGTTATTTAATTTTTGAGTAATTAAGACTAGTTAGAAAGTAAGTAAATAAGTTAATAGTAATTGAATATTAATACTTGATAATTTTTGACTTATAACTAAATTATATAATTTTCAATCAAATATTTAATTTTTGAAGGATTAAATTCAAGCAATAGTAAGTAATATAAATTTAATTCTTAACTTATTGAAAATATCTAGGCAATTCATAAAATGAAATTGAATTAAAATTATTATAAAAATTCAATATTCTATTAGGAAATTATTTTTTTAGTCTATTTTAACTTATCTTTTGTTAAATTATACCAAAAAAAAGGAAATTTATCATGAATTATTATTAATATGAGAAGATTTATCTGTTACAATTTTTAATTGTTCTACAAGTATTTTTAGATATTTTATTCACTCTTACTTAAATTATAAAAAACTATTAAAATATAAAGCATTAATACAAGTTATGAAGTTTCAATCAATTATTTTTAATTGGAGAGCTTGAATATAGTAAATTACTAGTAATTATTTTACAGAAAAACTGAGAATTTTAAAGCATATTTAATTTGTAAGAATTCAGCTTTATATTTAGCAATAAAAAAAAAGTTACAAGAAAAAGCTCATTTAAATTAAATTGATATATTATTTATTATTTTTAAGTGCATTTGATTGATAAAAATAAACAAATAAAGTAGAGAGAGAGATAATAAAATAAATTTAAACTAAAAGAATTAATAAATATTTTTTATACTTTTTTGTTTAAGATAGATGTATTCATTTCTAATATTTTCAACTAATAATAAATATATCCTAAAAAAACAAAAGATATAAATAAATACAGTCATACCTCATTAATTAAGGCCTATCCCTGCCTTCTTCTAGATTTTTTGCTTATTTAAGGACGCCTTTAACCCTACCTAAATAAAAAAAGATTTTAAATTATTTTAATCTTAAAGTAATATATAAAAAATGGTAATAAATAATAAATATAAAGTATTTCGAAATATATTAATTAATTAATTAATTATCAACTCATATTATTATATATTATATATTCAATTTTAATTTTAATTTCAAGAAAAGAAACCATTTATAAATAAATAACAAATAATTTAGAAATAAATATTTTAATAAAATCTTAATTGTAAAACAAGCAATAAAATAGAAAATAATCATATATAATCAACTAACTAATCTTTTATTTATTAAATTTACTATTATAATATTTAGTGAATAATAATTCTAATTTGAAATCTCAACAGCAATATTTATTTATTTTTATTCAACTAATTTCTAAAAAAAACGCATTTATTTTTCTTCATAATATGTAAGAAAATAAAAATGCAATAGAAATTAAAATTATATTGATTTATAAAATTTAGATTGAATTTTTATCAAGATTTTTTTAAATACAGTGAACGTAAGTCTAAAACTAAGGACTAAAATTTATTTGAGCTTTCATTTTGTTGGCACAAATAGATAAAATCTAGTTCTTGAAATCAGATAGCTAGGATTAAAGATTCCAAAAGTTCTTTTGAACAATAAACTTTTGTTCTTCTTAAACAATGCAAGAGTCAAATGAAGATACATTCTATTAGCAGGAAGTATCACATTTAGGATTCTTAACTTTGCAATATGCTTATGTTTCATTTATGTCAGTTAAATTTTGATTAGGGTCGTATATAACTGCATTTCTATCAAAACAGTCTTACTTTTCTTCAATATAATTTTTAGTTGATTAAGATTTATTAGAATACTTAATAACAATAGGATCTCTCATGCATTCACCTGATTTTTAGGAGGCATAGTCATAATATTGCGTAGTATAATTAAAACTAGCTCCTTATTTGAATTCTATGTACTCAGCATCAAAACATGTCGAATAAAGACATTTTTCATAAGTTCTTAGAGCATTTAGGCAATTCTATTAAACATCTACATTCTTACCTAAAGTAGTGCATGAAAAGAATCCAATATTTTTAATGCACTTTTCTAACTTTTTTTCATACTGTATGATATATTTTGCTTCATCATAGTCAAGCGAGCAATAGCTTAAATTGAAAATTATCAATGTTGCCAAAAACACGTGAAGAATCTTCATCTTATCTTGTGCAATATTAATTGAATTAGTAGTTTTTGGATATTTTATAAATAAATTAACAAAATAAATTTATTAAATAAAGTCAATTAAATTTTATGTATTAAATTTGAAAATATTACATTAAAAATGAAATATTCATGAAAATTGAATTGGATAATTTAACCTTTCTTTCTATGATAAAGAATTATTAATTAATAATTAATTATTAATGCAAACCTACAAAAGAAAATTTAAATATATAAAATACATTGATTACAAATTATTAATTTTATTTAAATATTTTATTTAAAATTCAAATATTGTTTTAATTTATTTGTTTTATTAACATCAAAAATTGTTTTAATTGTTTTTATCACTACTTTCAGAAAACTAAAATTTAATAAAAAAATATTTATAAAATTATATGAAACGAATAAAAATATTTACATAGTTTTTAGCTTTACTAATTACACTTGATGCACCTTTAGCATTCTTCATAATCAATGAGCTTAGTGAGGAGAACACAGCCGATGTCAGATTTATACTTTCTTATGTCGTGTTAGTAACAAATTTTTTAACACCTTAATATGTCCCATCTAAAACACTCATTCCTTGCTAATAATATGAATATGGCAAGTAAAATAAATCAAATATTCCCTCACCAATGTTTACTATATTTTTAATTAAGGGTAACTAAGATGCAACTTGCCATTTTTGATTTCCTTTAATCTCTTACATCCACTAATCAATAATAACTTTACCCACTGCGTCTATATTCTTATCATAAATAGTCACTTAAACTAAAGTAACTTGTATTTCATGGAATTCTCCAATATTTATTATCTAAAAATATCCATTTTCTTTAGCTAGTCTTGAGAAATCGAATCCTATTAAAAATTAAATAATTAATTAGTTTTTTTATATTTTCTGAAATAGATTTACAACAAATAAGCCAAAAAAAGAAAAAAAGAATTATTTATTACCTTCTCTTTTGTTGCTAATAAAGATGTTAATTTCAGGGATAAATAAATCGTCAATTGATGTTATTTTTTCTATTCTAAAATTTTCTTGTTAATTTTCTTGCATTAAATCTTTGATTAATTGGACATTTCTATAATTTGCATTGAATGAAAATTATCTCATAGAGTGTTTGTTTAATATTTTTTAAAATTTATCTTCTAAAATTTTTTTTGTTTCTTTTTTTTCTTTTTAACTTTATTTTTTGAAAAATTACTTAAGCATTTCTGCAATTTGAGAAGATAGACTTATTTTTATGATTTAATGCATTTAAAGATCTATTTATTTGATGGTGTTGTTTATTAATTTTATTTTCTACTATGCTTAGTTATCAACATTTGCATTTCTGTTGTCAGCTTTTAATACATTATTGACTATTGTCTTTTCTTATATTTAGATATAGAAAGATAAGTGAAGGAATTACTCTAGCAAAGAATCTTTTTATTTTTCAGTGGACAAACAAATATATTTTTAAAATCCGTTCTCTGCTATAATTTTATTAATATCTACTCTAACATGTTTCTCTATATTTTAATCATTTTTTTCAAAAGATTTTATTTAAAAAAATATATTTTCTATCTTAAAAAGTAAGCTTTCGGCTGATTTTTTTCCTGCTTTTTCCCTTACAATAAGAATATTTTAGTCTGAAACAGTTTAAGTTTATTATTTTTCTAAATAGTTGTTTATTACTCTTTCTTTTAGCCATTAATTTTAATTTTGTTGCTATGCTTCTTACTCATTTTCTTTAATTTAATTCTATAAATTTAATTATTTGATCTAGTTTTAGTTAGAGTCAGCATCAATAGAATTCATTGATTTTTCTTCATCTTTTTCTTGTTTATTTTTGAATGATATTAAATTTCTATCACTTTCCATTTAATCTTTGATTTTTTATTAAATATTTTAATCTTAACTTTGCTATTTATTGCTTGCCTGTATTTAATTTGATAAAAACATTTATTTGTTAGCATTATAATTAGAATTAACAGAAGTGAAATCAAAGCCAAGGCCTTCTTGCAAAAATATTTTAACAAATTAAATGTCTATTATAATTCTATTATTTTCTTTCAAACTTTTTTCATCTATAACATATTCATCTCCATCAATTTTTTCAAACGACTCATCAAATTATTCAAACTAAGAAGAATTGCTCATCTCCAATTTGTGATAACCTTTTTTCTGTTCTTCTTCGTTTTCATCATTTTCTTATTCCACCTCTTTAACTGGCTATTCAAGAAGATTACTCCTTCCTTCATTTTAAAAATTCATTTAGAAAACACTTTTATTCAATTGTGATGAGACTTCAATGCCATCTGAAGGATAAAATGGATGATAATTATTATTTTTATAAATATTTTAAATCTTAGTTTTATAAATAGCCATTTATACTTCTAGATCTTTTTAGTCAATTGCAGCTTTTGCCTAATCGATTGCTTCTAAAATATATTTATTTTGCTCTTGATTATATTTTAAAGAAAAAATGAGGACATCTATAAAATAAGGAAGCTTTGCTAGAGTATCTGAAAAGAATCCTAATTAAATACCATCTACTTTGAGCTACAAAATTTCAGTATTCAGCTTATTCAATTCTAAATCAAATATAATACCAATTTTAGAAAATCCCATCGATTGAATAGCTTAATCTGAATTATTTGTAAACATAAAATCTATCATGAAAGGATCAATTGATGTATTGAAATCTTTCTGATAAAGAAAATCTAGTTGAATTTTACTGATTTTTAGGTCTAAAACATCTAATAATTTTTCAACTTTATTTTATTATTTTATTTTTTCTTCTACTTTCTCATAAAATTATTCTTCATTATCATAATCCTTTTAGTTTATTTGAATTTATTTTGAGCAGTTTCGCTATTCTCGTCTCTAGAATTTTTAAATATGCAGTTTTTCAATACTCAGCACAGCTCTGTAATTGGACATAAATCTATCACTTAGATTGAAATTATTATTTTGGCTTATAAATTCAAGCACTTCATTAGTAAGAAGTTACCCAAAATTACTATAAAGTTGGCATGAAGGAGTAGGGAATATATCAATCTTGACATCTCTAAAAAGTATGAAATCTCTAAAGACATATTCCTTGAATTCATTCTTCACCATTATATCACTATTTATTTTATCATTAAGCATAAATTTTTGAATACTTTCAAAGAAGTGAAGAACCAGTTTAGATTAGCTTAAAGGTAAAAGCGAAATAACACTTTAGTTTAAACACAATCCTCTAAAATCAAGTTATTATTTAGATTTTGCTTCTCTAAATGGTTTTTCATGCTGCTTCTTCTTAAATATCATTTGCAAACTAAGCTAATTATCTAAAGAATTTATTCTCTATTGCAAAATCTTTATAGCTAGTATCATTTTTTTGGCTTTTAAATTGGATTTATTACTTTGATTGTTGTTTTTAGTTGAATTATCATTTTCAAACTCATCGTCTTATCTGCTTGCCATCAAATTATACAATTCCTGATAGCTATTTTAAGATTATTATGAGAGATTCATTTTATATATTAAAATATTTTCCTGCTTTATAATACCCAAAAATACACTTTAAATTCTAAACAGATGGATATTTTTTGGGAAATTTTCGATAATATTTGACTCGTTTTGGAGTGAATCCATATTTGAATTAGAGCTTTAGCTTATTAAATTAGAGAGCGAGTTGTCTATTACCATTAAAGTGTTGATACCTATAGATATCTTCATAGCTAACTTAAAATTCTTAATATCATCCTCTTTTTTTATTTCCTTATTAAAAAGAACTTCTAATCCCAAATCTTTCATATGAAATATGAGAGTCTATTGCAAGCAGTAATCCTTTGGCAATCTAAAACGCTAGCTAATTTAAGATTTAGATTGATTCAAAGGATTTTATTCAGCTTGTAAATCTTATTTTTGGTAATGGATATTTACTTCTGAACATATTATTCTTATTAAAATATTATCGCTTTATAAAATTGCTTTTTATTGAAGATTTTCAAAAAAACTTTTATAAATGGCCGATTTGTACTTAAATTGATCAATTAAATTCATAAAAGTTAGTAAAGAAAATACAATATCTCCAATAGTATTTAAGTCTTCATCTTAAATATATAGTTCTAATATAGGAATACCAATATTCAAGCCAACTTTTACCTTATTTAAATCAGGGTTTTGCTCATTATCATGATAAAATCTGTCGTCATACTAATTCTTATTACCCTTATTTTAGTGAAATATTTCACTTTTTTTTTGAGATTTTTTTTCTTCTTTCTCATTTTATCTTTCACCACCACCTGAATTTATATTTAAAAAAACAAATAATTTAACCTAAAAAGAATTAATTTACTATCAAATTTAAATAAAAAATTAATTGATTACTTTATTATTATTGCTATTTTTTTAAATTTTAAACATCTAATTTCTTTTCTACTTCACTTGTTTCAATAATTTATTATGATAACGTTTCAAGGACTTCTTTTTATCCTTCTCTTTATACTCTGTACTTTAAAATAGATGGATAGGTAAGCTCAAAATGATTCTCCATGTTCTGCTAAGTTAACACAAAATTTCTTCCAATGTGGATGATTTTATGAAACTCTTCAGTTTGAAAGTTTACTGAGAAAATGTTTATTTCGTTAAAATTAATGTTGACATCTTTTTTCTGGACAAAAAGAATTTCTGGATTAACCCATGTAATATTTAGATAGTGAGGTTTATAGCTGCCTCTTTAGTTTTTTAATTCTTCAAAACAATTTGACTTTTTACAAATTTGTTGCTAATCAGTGACTTCGCATAAACATCCCCATTTTGCATAATTGCTATAAATATTATCAACTTCAGAAGATGAAATATAAAAATTTTTAAACCCATATGTTAGCAAATTACAACTGATTAAATTCAATTTAATATCAAATTCTAGGACATTTTTATTTAAAGATTTAAGAAGCTTTTTTATTTCTCTTGGTATTTCATATTTAGGAATTTTCTAATCTAAATCTTAGCATATTTTTTCATGATAATGAGCATATTTTGATAACGGACACTATATCAATGCTACGTCATGCATAATCTTCATATCTAAGTTAATAAACAATTTATCCAAAAAAAAATTAGCACATAATTCATCAGATTAAATCTCCTCTTCTTGTTTTTCCTTTAAATTACTTTTTTAATTCATAGGAATGCTTCTAATTTTTTAAGTCATCGTAAAAAACTTATGCTGAGAGGTGTTATTACTTCCTTTCTACAGCATATTTTGAGAGCTTTCATCCTCAGATTTACCTATGAGCTTGTTATAGCTATTAGGGTAAAATTATCTCATATTAAATTCGTATAAACTTTCCTCTTCTCTTTTTTTAGCATTTTGAATATTTTTACATCTCTCTTTCCTCTCTTTTTTCTCAGTGTTCCAGAAATCATTAATTATGCTATGTATTTTTAAATCTTCGCTTTTGCTAATTTTCTCTTTCTTTTATCTATTTTATTTGCAGTTATAGTAAATTATGTAATTAACGCAATAATGAGACTGCTTATCTATTTAATATTTAATCAGATAATTGCTTTCTGTCTTTCGTTCGTCTTGAAATTCAAGATCTTTTTATTAGCTTTTCCAGAAAGTTGAAGAAATTTTATCCTAAAGGCCATCTTTTATTTGACTATTTTATTTTTAATATTATTGTTTCTAATGGTGAAATTTAAAGTGCTAAAATCTGTGATGACTTTATTTAGGGTCATGATTGATCAACAAAACATCCATAAGCTCGAAAGATCTCATATCTGCATCAAATTTTTTGACATAATTATCTTTTTAAAAGTTAAATTCCAAATTAGCAATCTTTAACATGTAATAACTGCATGGAATATGCATATTTACAGGTTTTTTAACTTAATTGAAAGTGTTGTTGCCAAAAATATTTTAATTATCTAAATTTTCTTATTCATTTTATTAAAGTTAAGAAATTAATGATCTTTTTTTAGAGTATTTCCACTCTCTCGAATACTCAATTGAAGTATTTTAATCTATTTTTCTTTCACTACCCTTTAAAACGTAAATGCAACATTTGCTAAGCAAAAACTTAACTGAAATAGTATTTGCATTAGATTTTTATTCAACATTAACTTCAATTATCTTACCCAGCTAACTTTTATTAAAGATAACACTTGACTCGAAATCAGAATTTTCTAACTCTGCTTATTTTCTATTTAGACCAAAGTGAGGTAATTAATTATTTTAAACTAGTATAGATTAGTTAAAAAAAGACTGATTACTAGGTTTCTCTTGCTAACTATTTTAAAAGTTAAAAAGCTACTTGCTATCTCTTTGATGAGACTTCTCCATTTCAACAACAGTCTTTTAAAGTAAATCTTCCACAAAACTCTCTTCAATTAAATTGTTTTAATTAATTTCATTATTTTTTATTTAACTCTCTTACTCGTTAGTCCAATTTTTATTATTTTCGATAATAATTTCTTTAATTTTTTCGTCTTTTGTGATCAAAAGTAATTGAAGACATTTAATTTATTTTTACCAGCATTCTATAATTTCAATTATTTTCCAAATAACCTTTAATTAGTAAGGTTCAATCATTATTTCAAATGAATTTAATTCAGTCGTTAATTAAATATCATTTTCTCTCTAATTATAAACAGCATCTAAAAAAATATTTGGCACATACAATATATTTGTTGGATGATTATGAGGTGGATATTGGTAAGGAAATTTCATTTCTTTTTATAATTATTTTACATTGCTGCTGCTACTATTGCCTTTTCATTTATTATAATTCAATAATTATTGTATTTATTTAAAAAAAATAATTATCTAAAATTACTTTTAAAATCATCTTAATGATGCGCTTTTGCTTAAAGATTGTAAAATTCTTGAGGGTTAAGACTGGAATCTTTTAATATAAATAAATTGATATTTGATACTTTAAGATTAAATGATGGAACAGAGTCTACAGAGCTTGGATTATGATTTAAATTTGGAGGATTACCAACCATAGTCATGCTAATTTATGATTATTCCATAAAATCAAATTTAACTTAACTATTGTCTAGACAATTTTTTTTGCTTTCTTCATTGCTTGTAATTTCAGATATTCTTAACATAAAGTAGACTTCTTCTGAAGAATTGCTGCTCATTGTTGATTAGAGAAATATTTTTACCACTAAATCTTTCACACTAACTTTACTAGTTAAAGCTACTTTAAGTAGAATATTTTTTAATTCATTAACTTTATTTGGATCATAATCCTCATTTTCCTACAGCTTTTATGTATCAGATTTTTCTTTGTTTTCTTGCTTTCTGAAATAATTGTGAGAAATATTTTTTCCATTAGGTCTCAAATGAATTTCTACTTAATTAATTTCAGCTTTACTTTACTTTGTTAGCAAATCTTGGATGGGAATTTAAATTTTCATTTTTCCGATCTAACCATAAGTCATTATAAATGGAGACTTATACAAAATCTTTGAATTGATTTCTTCAATTTTAAGATTAACCTAATGACATTTATTAATATCAATGTAAACAAAATAATAAAATTAATAATTGTTGAAAAATAAAATAAATAATTTTCAATTTCAAATCAAATTTAAAGTAAAAATTTTAAAATTCATTTTAATTGAGTTCAAAATTTCTGCTATCTTTCTAATAAAAATTACATTTTCAAGAGAAATGTCTTAAATTGATTTCAATTGAAACTATTTGATATCTACATACTGACCAAGATATTTCTAAACTATGTTTTTAACAAGTGTTTCTACTATTGGATTAAATGAAGGCAAAATTCCAGCTAATCCTCCAATAAAGCTAAAAATGCCATCTTTAATTCTATTCATTCACCTTAAAATTTATTTTTTCCTTTTTCTCTCTGCTTTATTTTTGAAAAATATGGAATTTATTGAGTTGGTATTAAAATATAATATATTGTATTTATTATCAAACTTTCTTTTTGTTTATATCTCTTTCTATCTTTAATACTATTTAAAATTTTTAATTAATAACTTGGTCTAGTTGATTGCCTGCTTGCTTTATTTTTTGCTAATTAGTTGTTATCAAAAAATTAATTAATTTTTATCTGATCGTTCCCTATAGTTGCACGATTGATGATAAACAAATTACATCCTCTCATTTCAAAGCAGAATTGTATAGTTTAATAAGATGAATTTTATTTAGTGTACAGTACTTATAAAATTAAAATACTTTTGTATTTATTAAGCATATATCGAAACATATATTTTATTTTTAAGATAGAATCAACCTAAAAATAAATTACTACATTATATTCATAAATATTCTAATAAATTTATGACTTAAATATTCTAAATATTATTTATTTATTTGAATGAAGAAAATTATAAGAATTTGTTATAAATTTTCTTTCTTTTCTAAGCTAAAAATTAAACATTTTAAAAAACTAAACAAAAGAATATCAAAGAAATAAAAGGGATATTTTCATAAAATACTAATTATAAAATTATTAATATTTTATTTAGAAAAATTGAGTTTATAAAAGTAAAATCCTTAATTTTTTCATTTTTAAAATTATTGAAAACTTAAAAAAGCTTCGTATACTAATTTTAAAAAAGCATTTATTTATTTGCTTGTTTTAATAATAAAATATATTAATGAGAATTTAAAGATTTGTTAAACCAATTAAACCACAATTATATTTTTTTAAATCTTTAAGTTTTTACTTTTTTCAACTTGACAAATAATAATTTTTATAAATTTTGTATTTATTCCATTCTAAAGTAAAAAAAATTTAAATATTACCAAAAATATTTATTTGACCCAAAATAATAAAAAGGTTATCAATCAAATAATATCGTTATAAGTTTTTAAAAATAAAATGAATATAATATGTACATAAATAACATACGCTGACTTAATTAACTAACTGAATTTTAAGAAAATTACAACTAGATTTTTAATATTAATTTATTTATTTAATTAATTAATTATTGTTGATTTTGGCAAATTATTATAATAATCAATCTGCTTGAATATCTACTTATATAGTTTTAATTTAGAAATATTATAGCACAAAAACCCTAAGATTGTAATAAATAGGATGGCGCATATAGATAGATAGATGCATTTTTTTGTAGTTTATTCAAAATTTAATTGTTTTTTAATAAATTTTATTCAGAAATTTAAAAAACTTCTTTCTTTGGTTTGGGTTTTTAATTTCTGGATTTATTTCAGTCAAAAACACCAAATTTACATTCTCTCAATTTAGAGCTTTCCATTCACGTTCATTAAAAGCTAATATTTTTCTTTCATTTTCAAGGCAATTATCTGAATTTTCTCCTGCTATGTTTTAAAGAGCATACACCTTTTTGTTAAAGATTATTGGCACGTTATTCCAAAATGCTTCTGAATTAGGGAGAAGCTTAGAATTAATGTTTTTTATAAAATACTAAGAAGAAACCTCGTTTTTATACATTTAATTCTATCCCTAGTAATCGTATTAATGTTGTTAATCATCGTAACCTTTTTCTTCTTCATCATTCTAATTTTAATCTTCATCAATAACTTATAAAATAAAGGATTAGTTTGATCCAGAATTATCTTCGTGATAACCACCAAAAACAAATATATCTGTTTTGTTTATTTATATTGAGGCAGATGTACTTAGCAGACCAAAGTTGAATCCTATCTTATTCAATTTATGAACTTAACTTAGCTTAGGATCAATCACCTCCCAAGAATCTGTTAATTGATCATACCTTTCTATATATGGACTAAGGAGATGATTGTCATATCCTTCTCCTATTCCTCCAAATTTGAAGAGATACCTTCCATTGAAGCTGCACAAGGACAAAGATGTTGCAGCGTAGTTCAAATTAGATATCATTTCCCACTTTTTAGTCAATAGATTAAATCTTTCACATCTTTTAGTCATAACATGTTTGTGTTCGTAACCTCCTACGACATAAATTTTACCTGCTAAATATGCTATACCATGTGAACTACGAGGATGATTCATGCTGGAAAGCTATATGAGACTCTAATTTTACCAATCATATTGGTAAATCCAGCCACTCTTATTCATTTGACCATCAGGTATAGTTCCTCCTGTAAGAAATAGCTCTCCAATAGGAGTAGCTATAGATTTGTGGAATGAAGGTATTCTAAATGATATTTTAAGATCAATTGTTACAATGTTATAAATTTGATCAATCCCTGCCACTCTTTTACTAGATAAATTGCTAGGATTACTCGATTTTGCCGTTTCCTTTAAATCATAATTATCTAACTCAGTTAAATCTATATAATGTAATTTATTGTCATCGTTCTAAAAGAAATGCAAGAACTTTCTCAGAGACTTCTTATCAAAGTAATCGTTAGCAGTTATTTGAAAAATTTCATTCTAAATCATTTAATTTTAAAGTTGTTGTTGTTGTTGGTACTTTTACTGCTACGATTAATTGGCTGAAACAAATTATCTTTAAGACTCGTTATCATTTTGAATACTTTAAAATTGCTAACCTGATTTTGAATGGTTTATACTTATGTTATTATTTTAATAAATTTGCTATTGCTAAGGATTATAATTTGTGTTGGACTACTTCATAGATATATTTTACTATGGAGAGTATTTTTAAGGAGATTTCTATGTACTGTTCTATGCAAATTAATTCATCTAAAGCTAATCTTACACATCAGCAACTCTAACAGATACAACTCTCTCTAACTCCTCAACGAGATAATAAACGCGAGCGTCATCCAATTTTGGGAGTAAGCACTCATAACTTAATGAAGAGGCTATTTTATTTATCTCTCCTTTGTGCTTTGCTATAATATGCTATACATCCATTTAACATATTTTTTGAACAATATCAACATAATCATTTGAATTTAAAAGCTAACATAAACTCTAAAACTCTGTAATGACTTGCCTATTTCATTCAAAAAAATAATTAAAATTTAAAATTGTCAAAAATAAATTATTTAAATGAAAGTAAATTTTATTATTCTATTTTATTCAAAAATATTTTAAAAATAAATTTGCTAAATGCATTGAATTGAATTAAATATTTATGCTTAAGTTAAATATCTGTCCAAGTTCCAATTAAAATTTGTTTTGAGTTTTTCAGTTAAAATGTATTCAAAATTTCTCAAAATTATTGTGATGGATATTTTAATATTTTCGAATATTTTAATATTTATTTATTTTTGCTTAATTTAATACCGTACATCAATCAATAGATTAACTAGTTTATTATAAAATACTTTGCTTAACAATATTTTATACGAATTTATATTAACTTGTTTTTATTTCTTCAAAAATTTAACAAAAAAAATAACAAATTTAAACATTTACTTCATTTTAGCAAACGTAGGCTCGAAATTTGTTATTCTTGTTTTTAACTCTTTCATATTTTGTACTATTTATTCTTCTATTGTCTTAAAATGTGTATCAATCACATCATCTATTCTTTTCCTATAACGTCTTAGCATTTAAATGTTATCATCCAAAGATCCTTCAGGAACAGAAAGAGCTCTTTCGCAGTTATTTATTTACTATTCTAATAAATTAACAGCACTTAGAAGCTTTGTTTCGCATCTTTATTTAACGCTACGAATGGTTTCGATTTCTGCATATGTTCTTTGCTATTTATGCTGTTGGTTATGGATAGTCACACATTCTGGACAAAGAGGCTTTAAGCACTCTAAGCAGCTGCAAAAATTAGTTATTAACTCATTTGGATGTTCTTTGCATTAATTTAAATCCTAAATATAGCTATTTTAGTGATTGCTTCCTACAGGTTGGCTATTTTGAAACTATTTAATTTATCCCTTTTTGTTAAAATGCAAAGTTATTAAAGTGAATAATGCATAGAGTAATTTCAATGATATTGACTTTTAACTGTCCAAAACGTAGAGAAAATAATTTTAAGAAACTTCATACAAAAAGTAATTAATTACACTATTTAACTTTTGGCTAGGCTGAGGCAAATACTGATAATTCATGGGAGAAAGCTAATAAATACAAATAATTAACTCCTAAACCTATTTTTATATATTTATTATTTATTATTCTTATTGCTGGTTGATTGATTGTTGCTGTTATTAATTAATTGAATAATTTCTTTTTTTTTCCTTAAGATTTTAATTATTTTAACAAAATATAGTTGTTGCTTATCATTCGCAATACTAAAAATATAAAGATAATTATTGAACATTTATAAATTCACTATATAATAACTTCATTCACTTTTGAAGGCTTTACTTTTAATCATCCTTCATCTCAAAAATCAACGAATTAAATAAGAATAGCCTAAGCAGCAAAAACCAAGATTTCTTTTTTTATAATTTGAAAATTTTAAAGGGGAATCTTCAAAATAAAATAAAATATAAATAAATTAATAATTGACTGATTTATGTATGGATTAGTAGCTCATTTACTCATTTTAATAAAACAAGCTATAAACCAACGGTTTTAAAGATATATATATATATATAATAAAAGATTTTGTTTCAAATCCAACAAACCACTTTTGAATAAACATATTAACGTATATCTAATTTTTATCTTCCATTATGTTTTTATTTATAATAACTGCTACATAATAATAAATATTTATCATATTTTATTCTTTTAAATATGAAATCAATTACGATTTTTGTGGACAAAATTAATTAGCTTGATTGAAATAAAATTTAAAATCCTCAATAGCCATTAGTTTTTTGTTTTTGTTATTTTTTTCTCATCCATAAAAAGGGGTTTAAATATGTATAAATAAATAAAATCTGAAATCTTAAAATAATAAACATATGTTAGTAACAAAATACTGTTTTCTACAAAAATAATAAAATCATTAATCATTTAATCCGTAAATTTATTTTAATAATTTTTAAATATACAAAATACATAATTATTTTACACAATTTAAAAACAATTTTGAAGAAAACAAATAATCTATATAAATTTATCATAATTTTTAATTAAAAGTGAAAAATATTAAGTCAAATATTTCAAAATATTTAAACAAACATCGCCAAATATCTTTCTTTATTTTTTTTTTAATAATAAATAAAATAAAATAATATTAATAAATATATTTCATATTTTTAAAAGCTTTTATTAAATATTAAAAAAAAAATATTTTATTTTCGTATTTTTAATGATCTTTGAAATAATTAAAAAAGAATAACCATTTATTCAAGTATTAAATTTTTAGATAACTAACTCCATCATTTTAAGAATATTATTTTTTAACAATATTATTATCTCTTCATTAAGATTATATTATTATTTTTTGCCAAAAAAATTTTTAATAAAAAATAGAATTGATTCGTCAATCATAATTTAACAATAAATTATTTACCTAATTTCAGATGTCAAATTTGAGAGGTTGAGAAATTTTATAAAAACAAATACTATATTTTAAGCTCCAATTTCACCAATTTAATTTCTTCTTTAAATACAGAAAAAAATAAATTAATAAAGTAAAAGTAAAATTAAATGATAAATTAAAATTTTCAAAAATAAAATATCCTATTAATGGTTGCTTTTGGAATATTCTTAATTCAAAATAAATTTATATATTTGAATTTATTTAAAAGAAAAATAATTATGTATCTGTCTGTTTCATATATTAATTCATAAAATAATTAATTAAAAATATCAATATTAGCAATTAAAGTTATTTTACATGAAATTAATATTAAAAATCAATAATTCTGAAACTCTTCCGTCATTAATTTGATTAAATCTTTTCTTATTTACATATAGATTAATATTCTAAAAAACTTTTATTTGAAATTAAAAGAAAATAATAAATGATAATCTCACAAGCAACTTTAAAGTAAAAAGTAAGTATATTTTTATAACAATTTCCTATCTATATATAACTTTAAATGCCTAGAAAGATTTCTATATAAAGTAATTTTATCTAAGATTTAATGTTAAAGTCAAGTGATTGGTGAAGTCTATTAATGAAGTGCCTAAACTTAATGCATTCTTTGAAAAAATTTGATTTGAAGTTTTAATATATTTATTTATTTAATTTTTTAGTTTATTTATTAACAAAAATTAATAAAAATTTCTAAAAAAATAAACTTTTAAAATCAATATTCATTTATTGTTTTATAAAAATAAATTAAATTTAATTTAATTAAAATTGTTACTATAATTAAAAATGTTAGTTTTAATAATGAAAAGAAGCTTTACGTAAATAATAATATTTATTAGTATTTATTTTTGAAATGTTTTTGTTGAAAAAAATTTTTTGTTTTCCAAACTTTTCTAAACAAATAAATCAAGAATAATATTTGTAAACTTTTTAAAAAATTTAATTAATTTAGATTTAAATTATTAATTTTGATCTTAAACTTTGCAGTTAAAAGGTGGAAGAAAAAAATTATTCATAAAATTAATTTCTTGATTTGTATTAAAATGTCAAAAAATAAGGATGCACCATAAAAATTATAAATCTAATTGGTACTCATTTAAAACTTAACACTTTTATATTCTTAATTATTTTTTTTAACTTTACTTTATAGAAAGACTTATTACAATATTTTAATTTTAAATTTAAATGATCATCTTTCAGCTAATTTTTATTTCATATTGTAATAAGGTTGTAAAATTTTGTATTTAATAAAATTCTAAAGATTTATACTTTCTTTATTAATAGTTAAATCAAAAACTCCAAGTTAATAATTTTAAAAAGTAATAACAAAGATCATCTATAATATCAAATTGATTTGTTAGTTTCTTAAATAAATATTTACCATAGATAGATTAATCTACTAAAAAAGATTTAAATATTAAAAATAAATATAGAAAAATAAAAAGATATTAATAAAATAAAATTTTAGTGCTTCAATTAGCTATTATAAAATAAACTTTTTTATGGTAAATGTAAAAGAAATCTAAGCATAAACAAATTGAATTAAAAATGTTATCATAATTAATTACTTAAAAAATAATAAGAATCTTTTTTTTTAAAAACGCTCAAAAAATTTTAATTTAGCATCACTCACTAACTAGATATGGCAATCGAATGTGTCAATTTTGGAAATTAAAGGAAGAATCTAAAGTTTCGATTTAAAATGTAAATCGAAAATCGAAACAAATTTAAATTTGATAATTGATTTCTAATCATTTTTTGATAAAATCGATACTTTCAATTCCCACTAAAGTATTAACCACTTAATTTTATATGATAAAGAGAAAATCACCTACTTTTATTAATCTAAAGTAAAAATTGTAAATTATATTTCATGAAAATTTATGAAAAATGTATATGATTGATTATTTATGATTTTATTTAAAAAGATGGCATAAAAGTATTTTTTTTTAAGTCTACGTGTCCAAAATTATTTAGATTTTAGTGATTCTTATATTTAAAAAATATTAGATTTAGTTTTTATTTAATATATGCGCTGAATTATTTAATTAGATAATTACATACTTAATTTTGGTAATTAAATTGAGATCTTAATCTTTCTTACCATATATATTGAAGAAAGAAATTTTGTATTTGAGAAATATTTTTCTTTCTATATTTCCTTTTTAAGAAGTATTATAGCTTATCTCTTCAATCATGCGAATGGTAAATGAATATTTATTTAAATAAAGCCCATATTAAATTCGAGAAACATTTATAAACTTTAAATTTGATTAATGTTCATTCATTCTTCAAGCTGATATTGAATTTATCTCTTTAATAAATTTCATGGTAAAATAAATAATAACTAAATATAATCCAAATTAAATTCGAGAAACTTTTATAAATTAAGAATTTGGTTTTTAATGATTACAAATAAATTTATGGTAAAGAATTAAATTCCATATCAAATTGGAATGACGTTTACAATCTATAAATTATATTTTGATAGCTTACATTCTTCTACTAAAATTATGATTCTATATCTCTAAAAAAATCTATGATAAATCAATATAAAGCCCTATCAAAATACTTTAGTTAATTGTAAGGAAGTCTATAAATTTTACTTTTGTCATACATATTTAAAAGGCTATATTTATGGCATCAAAATATATTTTCTTTAAAAAAAAGTGTTGTTAATTAAGTTTTTAATATAAAATTTGCATTTTTTCAAAATTCATAAAAATTATTATGATTTCTGCTTCATAAAGATTCTAAAAATAAATATTAATAAATTATGCAAGAATATATCAAAGAATACAAATAAATGTGATATGATTACAAAATTAGTTAATGAATACATGTAATTTTTATCATAAAACGCTTGCTTATTATATAACTGGCTACTAAAAGTATATTTAAGGTTATTACTTAATGTTTTACTAATAAGGGGTTTATTGTATCACTTAAAGTTATTATTATTAGTTTATTCCATATTAATCTGGACAATTAAATACTTATTATTATTAACTAAAAGGATTTGGTTGAATAGGATTTAAGGCCTGCATTTATTAATTCATATTTTACTATTAATTAAGTTAGAAATTATTCAGTGATCCAATTTTTTATTAAGCCATTCTGTATCTTCTGCATAAGCAAACTAAAAAAATGATAATAACAACCACTGTTACAGGGATCACTATAGCAAGAATTAAAGCTGTATCAGAGGTGCTACCTCCTGACCCACTTGAACCACTACCTGAGCTAGATGAAGATCTTGATCTACTACTACTGCTACGACTACTAACTCTTTTTGAACTAAGATTTCTTCTAGCTTCTATACAATAAGCTTAATTAATAGCAAACATGATAACCAGAAAAATAAAAGCCAGCCTCTTATAATTTTAACTCATTTTAAGAAATATTATTATTATTTTTCTTATTTTTATATATTTATTTAATTGTAAATAAAATTTTATAATATTTAGTTTTTCCTTAAAATTGGTTTTAAATGCTATCAAATTCGAGTTAGATTTATTCCAAGATGATTTTTATTTATCAAAAAATTTAGATTTTTAATTAAGAAATCGTCAAGATAATAGAGGAAAAAATTACATATTTCCTCAGTTTACAACTTACTCTAATTAAGTGATATAAATTTCTATTTCTAAATAAATTAATAATTTAATAATATTAATTTAGTTTCCAAGATATTAATTTCTTTATCTAAAATTAAATATTAATATGGCTAACTCAAATTTTATCTAATTATTTGTTTGTTTATTTAGATGTAAAAATTATCTAAAAAGAAAATAAAATTAATTTAATTATTTATTTATTATACTTAAATATTTTTATCAGTATTACTATTTGTTTAAAAAAAGAGGTGGGATTGATTATTCTTGAATATTAAAATTAATTGAATTTTTTGAGTCTGAAATCACCATATTTCATGAAAAATGATTCAATTATAGAAATTACCATCTCTTTATAAAAAAAACTAATGCACAAAAAACATCGCTAAATTTTATTTTATCGAAAATTATCAAAAAAAAATGAAATATTTTATTAATTTGATTTAAAACAGAAAATTTTATCATAGCTTTTTATCAAATAAGTATATTAAAATAAATAGCTAAATATTAGTTTTAATAATAATTTTTTTAACAAAAATAACCAATATAAAATTATAAATAAAATAATTTATTATTGCAAATTTCTGCTATTTTGAAAGATACCGATTTTCAAATCAAAAATAGCTTTAATTATTTTAATTTGGATATACTTAGAATTAGTACTGCTAAGGTTATTAATAATTAGTAGGATTAGTTTGTCCTTAGAGATAAAAAGCTGATTATCCTATATTTTAGTTCACTTAACACATCTGTTAAAAAGCATTTTATTTATTAAATTATAAATTTTATTGAACCTATTCTTATTGCTTTTTTACTTTTTAAGCGTTATACCTTCTACAAACAATAGTAATTAAAGTAACAATCAAACAAAATCCAACTGGGACACAGACATAAAGAGCAATTGCAGCACCTGTAGAAAGGCCTCCAGAACTTGTTGAACTATTACTACTACTACTTCCTCCTCCTCCACTTCCTCGATTGCTACTAGTACTTCTTGAACCTGAGGATCTACTAGCTGAGGATAATAGATTTCTCTATCTGTTATTAACTGCTTAAGAAAAAGTACAAATAACTTCAGTGAATATCAAAAATAGAGTTAAAAATTGTAATATTTTTTTCATTTTTATTTTTTGATAAAGTATTTAAATAATAATTTGCTTTAGATAAGAAATTTAATTAAAATACCTTTATATTTTTTTAGAGGATATTAAATAAAATTTTTTATTCCTATTAAAACGAATTTCGAGTATTTATACTTGGACAAGTTAATAAAATTAAAATCTTTGAATAACCACTCAAGTTCTTGAAATATTTATTATTTTATATTACAGATTATTTTAGTTTACAGATTAATCAATGATAATTAATAAAATTTATTAAATTAATTTATTTCAATATATATTTATAACAAAAACGATTAAAGAATACGGGAGATAGTTTTAATAGTTTTTTTACTATTTGTTTGTTTGTTTGTGGAAGTTTGAGATAAAATTGCAAATCATTCATAAAATATATATTTTAAATATTTATTTATGAACTATTTTTACATTTTTTTATAAAGCTATAAAGCTATATAATTTTATTTAAAATTTTCTGTAAAAAAGAGCCAGTTTCAGTCAATATATATCTAATCAACATAGTTAATTTTTCCAATTGTTTACTAGTACCATAAAAATACTTTTGTGATTATAAATTATTATTGATTTCTAATTAAATATGATGAAATTAATAGTTTATAATTATTGTGAATATATTTTAGAAAAATAAAAAACAAATCAAGTCTATTCAATGTATTTATAATTTAATTAACTCATTTAATTTTGAGAGGCAGTATCTTTAATATAAATATTAATTTAACAAGTAAGTTTCTATTTAAATAATGACAAAAATAAGTAGATTTAATTATATTTGCAAATTAGATTTAATTTATTTATTCAATATAAATTAATTCTGACTATATCTTAATGTATCTATCTTATGTTTTATTAAAATTGAAATTTAAACTAATCAAAATTCAATAAAACAAAAAGCACGTTTTAATATCAAAATAAAATATGTTTTTTTTAGAAATTCGTTTTATAAAATATATAAATGTTAAAAAAAATTTCCATATTGACACTAATAATTTAATAATTTGAATAAATATAAAGTATTTCAATCTTGTATTAAATTAACTATATGTTTTAATTAATTTGTTTTTGATTTTTCATCATAATATACTTGCTTATTAAATAGCTGGTTATTAAAAGTATAAATAAGATTATTCCTAGTTTGTTTATTAATATGATATATTCTGATTCACTTAGAGCTATTATTAATTAACTCCATATTAGTTTGGATAATAAAATACTTATTGCTATTAATTATTAGGTTCTTACTGAATAGGATTGCATGCCTGCATTTATTTATTCATGTCTTATTAGTTAGTAAATTAAATATTATTAGCTACTACTTTTTATTTTGCCAATCTTATTCTCCTACATAAGCAAATAAGAAAAATAACAAAAACAACAACTGCTATTGGGATTACAATTATAATTATTAAGTCTTTATTTGAGATGCTACCTCCCGTAGAAATAGTAGAGTTATTTGCTCCTTATCCACTATTATTTGTACTGCCGCCACGTGATGTAGATGATGATCTTGATCTACTACTGATACTACTACCTCTCTTTGAACCAAGTATTCTTATATCATCCCTACAGTAAATGATATTTATAGCAAGCAAAAAGATAAAAAAAGAAATAGTTAATCTATTATTATTTATGTTCATTTTACTAAGCAATTATATTTCTATAAGAATCCTTTAAATAGAAAATAGTTAGATATTAAACTTTTTTTTTTCTTTAATTAATAAAAGTTTTTTCTTTTAATTTCGAGTTAGAAGTATTGTTTGCTCTGATATTTAATTACAAATTAAGATTTCAATGTTTTGATTAATCAAATTCCTCAAATAAAGATGTGTGAATACAGATTAAATATTTGAGCTGTTTACAAGTTACTTTAATATTCATGTTTCTATGTAAAACTAGATGTTTTAATGTATACAAATTAATTTCCTCTCATTTTTGATATCAAAATGATCCATTCATTAAATATAAATTTTATTAAGAAAAACAAACAACCAAAATAATAATTTTGTTTTGTTTAATTATTCTATTTGAATTCTATTAAATTAAAAAAAAATAATTTTGGTTTTAATTAAAGTTATTATTAATTCGAATCCATTTATTTATAAGTATAAATTTTGCTTTTAATCAATTTTAAATATCAGAATTTATTCATCAAATTCTACTACAAAAATTCAATTATAAATCGTAAAAAAACTATTATTTCATAACTTATTGATTATCATAAGAAAATGAGATAATTTGAAAATCCAATGTAAACAATGTAAGAATAAAGTGGTATTAATTTTATTCGAAATAAACAAATTTTATAATTTTCATAGAATTCTATTGATTATTTATAAATACAATATTTTTCTAACATTCTAATATCTATCTTTTTATAGTTTGTTTGTAAGTAAATAAAATTTTGAATTTATAAATATTTGAGCATGATAATATTTCTATTATATATACTTTAATTTATTTAGTTATTTATTTATTAACCAGACAGACTCATTAAACAAACTTAATTATGGAAGGGAGAGAATTTTAATAGTTTTTTACTATTTATTTGTGAAAGTTTGAAATAAAATAGTAAATCTTTCTTAAAATATATTTTTTTAATATTAATTAATTATTTATTTATGATTTTATTTAAACATTTTTTTATAAAGCTAAATCATATTTATTTAAACATTTTCTCTCTAAAAAAGATCCATTTTCAGTAAATATTTAATCAATATAATTGATTTTTCCAATAGTATGCTTTTTTTGATGGTAAATTACAATTGATTTCTAATTAAGTACAATGTAATTATTAGTTTATAATTATTGTAAAAATATTTAAGAAAAAATAAAAAAGCAATTCAAGTCTATTCAATTATTTAAAATTTAATTAACACATTTAATTTTGAGAGGCAGTAACCTTAAATTCAAATATTAATTTAATGAGTTTCTATTTATTTAATTAATGACAAAAATAATTGTAGATTTAATTATATTTGCAATTAGATTTTAATTTATTTATTCAAGATAAATTAATGCTGACTATATCTTAATGTATCTTATCTATTATAAAAATAGAAAATCTAAACTAATTAATTAAAATTCAAAAAAACTAAATGTAAATATCAAATAATATAAAAAAATGTTAAAAAATTTATTAATTGACACTAATAATTTGAATAAATATAAAGTATTTCAATCTGCTATTAAATTAACTATCTATTTGTCTTAATAAATTTATTTTTGATTTTCATCACAAAATGCTTGCTTATTAAATAGCTGGTTATTAATAGTATAAATAAGATTATTCCTAATTGGTTTATTAATATGATATATTCTGATTTACTTAGAGCTATTATTAATTAACTCCATATTAGTTTGGATAATAAAATCCTTATTGCTATTAATTATAAGGTTATTATTGAATAGGATTACATGCCTGCATTTATTTATTCAGGTCTTATTATTATTAGTTATTAAATTTTATATTTTTAGCTGCTACTACTTTTTATTTTGCCAATCTTATCCTCTTACATAAGCAAATAAGAAAAATAAGAACAACAAAAACTACTATTGGGACTACGACTTAAATTATTAAGTCATTAGTTGTGTAGCTACCTCCAGTAGTAGTAGAATTAGTCCCTCCTGATCCACTTTAATTTGAGCTACCAGCACCTGATGTAGATGATGATCTTGATGTATTACCACCACCTCGTTTTGAACCAAGCATTCTTATATCATCCCTACAGTAAATGATATTTAAAGCAATCATAAAGATAAAAAAAGAAATAGTTAATCTATTATAGTTTTTGCTCATTTTACTTAACAATTGTATTTTTATTAGAATTCTTTAAAAAGAAAATTGTTAGATATTTAACTTTTTTTTTTCTTTAATTAATAAAAGTTTTTTTCTTTTAATTTCGAGTTAGAAGTATATTTTTTGCTCTGATATTTAATTATAAATTAAGATTTCATTGTTTTGATTAAACAAATTCCTCAAATAAAGATAGATGTGTGAAAATAGATTAAATATTTGAGCTGCTTACAAGTTACTTTAACTTTGAGATTGATTTCTACTTAAAACTAGAGGTTTTAATGTACATAAATGAACTTCCTCTCTTTTGATATAAAAATAATCCATTCATTAAATATAAATTTTATTAAGAAAAACCAAATAAATAAATAATTTTGTTTTGTTTAATTATTCTTTTTTAATTTTTTTAGTCTCAAAAAATTAATTCTTGGTTTGAATTAAAGTTATTAATTAGTTCGAATCTATTTAATTATAAGTATAAATTTTGCTTTTATTAAATTTAATAATCAGAATTTATTCTTCAAATTCTACTTCAAAAACTCAATTTTATAATTTCATTATCATAAGAAAATGAGATAATTTAAATAAAAATAGAACAAAGTGGTATTAATCTTATTTGAAATAAACAAATTTATAATTTTCATAGAATTCAATTGATTATTTTAATAAGGCAAGATTCTTCTATCATCCTAATTTCTTTTTATTTATAAAATATTTTAGTATGATTATATTTCTAATATATGTTAACTTAAATTTATTTATTAACTAGATTGATTAAACATATCAAATTGATCATTTAAAAAATATATAAATAAATGAGAATATATATAGCACTTTGCTATTTTAAAATGAAGCTGTTTACTAATAGCAAAAAAAATATTTATTTTTAAAATTATAATAAATTAAATTATTAATTATTTATTATAATTCTATTATAAAATATAAAAATCAGATTTTTTTAAAATAACTAAAAAATCTATTTGATAAAAAGTTGCATGCTAAGCACTATATTTTTGTATGACGTCTTGCTATACTATAAAACTTTAAAATACCTTTATTTAAATCTAAATATTTAAATTATAAATATTTTATATTTATAGTAATTTTTATTTAACTTTTTCTTATGTATTAAAAATATTAATTTCTATTATTAATATTTGATATAAAAGCTTCTCATTTATTTAATTTGATAAGGTATAGTAAGACGCTAGTAATTAAAAAAAAGCTTTTATTGTTTTTGTTAAAGCTCAGGGCTGAATTTAGAGAAATTATTTTATTTAAGTAAATTTAGTTGTTAAATTTTGTTATTGTTTAATAAACTATTTATTAAATTACCAAAATGTGATATTTATAAATAAAAAAATAAAAATAAATCTATCTAACTAACTAACTAACTAACTAACTATTTTTTAGGTTATAAAATAATACATAATATTTTTTTATTCAAATATTTATATAATTTCTCATCCTTTTTTCATCACTTTTTATCACCAAAATGCTATATTTAAGACAATTAATCTTTTTGATTTGAGAAACTTTCTTTTTAATTTCAATTATGATGATTTATTGTTATGGTAGTAACTTTTAATATAAAAATGATTAGCAGAATAAAAATTTAAAAGAAAAATAAATCAAATAAAATCTAATAAATTAATTAAAAGAGTTAATTAAATCGTTCCAAAATGAATAAACTATATTTACCCAAGACTAAGTGTAAAAGTTAAGAGATTGGTGCATTTTCCTAAACCAGAACCTAAGTCTAATGAACCTTAATCACAAATTTAATTTCCGCTTGTTAAATAGTTAGAAGGAAAAAATGAAGAAAAAATATGAAATAATAAGAAATTAATATAAAAACTACTTTGAAAATGAAAAAATTAGTTAAATTTAACAAAAAAAACATAAATAGAATAAATAAATAAAAATAAATCAAATAAAAATCTAATCAAAATTCAAAACAAAACTGTTTTTACAAAAGATGAAGTGTCAAATTTGAGAGATTAGCACACTTTCCTAAACCTGAACCTAAGTATGATGCACCTTCGTCATAAATATCATTTCCGCTTGTTAAATATTGAAGAAAAAATATATATTAAATTAGTTAGTTAGAAGGAAAAAATATTAAATAATAAAAAGTTAATTAATTAATTTAAAAAATTATTAAAATTAACAAAGAAATAAAAAAAAAACTCAAACAAAATAAAAAAATGAAAAAAAATGTAATAAATAAATTAAATGAGTTATTTATATTGTTTTAATTTCATTTTTACATAAAAAATATCACAATCCAAAACAAATAAACTATTTTTACTAAAGATGAAGTGTAAAATTTGAGAGATTAGTACACCTTCCTAAACCAGAACCTAAGCTTGATGCACCTTCGTCACCAATAAGATTATTCCTTTATAAATATTAAAGAAAAAAAATATAGTTAATTAGTAAGTAAGGAAAATAAAAAGAAATAATATCAAATAATAAGAAATAAATTAATTAA